TTTTGGCAAATCAGATACCCTCTAAGAGAAGAAAGGGTGGGTGGGCGAGGCTAATAGCTGTCAAGATAAAACTGATTTTGACAAATGAGATACCTTCTAAGAGAAGAGGGGGTGGGTGGGGGGGGGCTAGTATCTGTCAAGATAAGACTGATTTTGACAAGTGACATACCCTCTAAGAAAAGAGAGGGTGGGTGGGCGGGGCTAGTATCTGCTACGAAAGACTGATTTTGGCAAATGAGATTCCTCTAAAAAAAATAGAGAACGGGTGGGCGGGGTTAGTACCTACTACGATAAAAGTGATTTTCGCAAATGACATATCCTCTAAGAAAAAAGAGGGTGGTTGGGCGGTTCTAATGCCTGCTAAGATAAGACTGATATTGGCAAATGACATAGCCTCTAAGAAAAGAGAGGGTGGGTGGGCGGGGCTAGTATCTGCTAGCTGCAAAATGTGAGACAGACGATTTGAGATGTGCGGAATGAAATATGAGATATCCGAAATGAAATTCAATATATGCGAAATGAGTTGTACGAAATAAAATTCCAGTTGTGTGAAATGAAATACAAGCTGTGCAAAATAAAATGTGAGTTGTGAAAAATGAAAAATGTGGTATGCAAAATGAAAAATCAGATGTGCGGAATGCAATGAGACGTCTGAAATGAAATATACAGCCTGTTATTGAAAGGTACGTACAAAATAAAATCGGCAATTGGTCTCGAAGTATGGGTGCTAAAAGTTAAAAAAAGTTCAGGTAAAAGTGTTCTCCTTCTAGAGATAAAAATTATTAAAATTTATGTCCAAATTCGTTGTACGCCTCTGATAAAAAGATCATCTTTCGTTTCTATAGCAACATTTAGTCTTGACAAAAGTTTTATTGTTACAGTTGCTAGGATTTACTAAAATTAATTAATTTTACCCATTTCGATTCAGTAGCGTCTAAAAAGATTGGATAAGGGTTAATTTTCCCCTTAAAATTTTGATAAGACAAAATAAGTTTTTCCGACTTCTTAGACTTCGCGAAGAACCGTCCATTTTGTTGTACGCACCTTTCAATAACACCCTGTATATGAGCTGCGCGAAATGAAATATGAGATGTACAAACTGAAATTCAAGATGTGTGAAATGAAATATAAGATGTGCGAAATGAAATATGACATGTGTGAAATGAATTTCAATATGTATGTACGAAATGAAATGTCAGATATGTAAAATGAAAAATGAGACGTGCGAATTGAAATTCAAGATGTGCTACATGAAATGTGAAAAATGAAAAATAAGATGTGCAAAATGGAAAATGAGAAGCGCGAAATGAAATATAAGGTGTGCGAAATAAAATATGAGATGTACAAAATGAAAAATGAGGTGTACAAAATGAAAAATGAGATGTGCGAAATGAAATGAGATGTGCGGAATAAAATATGAGATATCTGAAATGAAATATGGCACGTGTGAAATGAAATTCAAAATATGCGAAATGAAATACGAAATGTGCGAAATGAGAAGTGAAAAATGAAAAATAATATTTGCGAAATCGAAAATAAGATCTTCGGAATAAAATTCAAGATTTGCAAAATGAAATATGAATGTGCGAAATGAAATTCAAAATGTGAGAAAGACGATTTGAGATGTGCGGAATGAAATATGAGATATCCGAAATGAAATTCAATATGTGCGAAATGAACTATGAGTTGTACGAAATAAAATTCCAGTTGTGTGAAATGAAATACAAGCTGTGCAAAATAAAATGTGAGTTAAAAGAATAACAATAGAGGAACTTAAAAATCGAAAAACTGCAAAATTGAAAAAATAAATACCTAATGTAAAATCGAAATATTGAAAATTAAAGAAATCGGAAAAACGGATAATTGAGAAATCGAAAAATTCCCAAATTGAAAATTTTAAAAATAGAAAATCGGGGAAGTGCAAAATCAAAATCAAGGATTGAAAATTTGAAGAATCGATATACTATAATTATTATACAGGCTTTTTATAAATAATTCTAAGAGCGTAGTTGGCCATGCACATCAAAAATCCCGCTTCGCTGAAATTATGCCTCATTATGATAGTTCTCACATACAAATATCATTTGTAACCTGTCATTTAAAGCATCGTTTTTATTATTTTAAATTTAGTAAAGTTCAAAACTGAGAGGCGGCACGTTTCCATGACCTAATTCGACCCTATAATCATTTATAGAAACCCTGTACTATTTTGGCAAATAAGATATCCTCTAAGAGAAGAAAGGGTGGGTGGGCGAGGCTAATAGCTGTCAAGATAAGACTGATTTTGGCAAATGAGATACCTTCTAAGAGAAGAGAGGGTGGGTGGGCGGGGCTAGTATCTGTCAAGATAAGACTGATTTTGGCAAATGACATACCTTCTAAGAGAAGAGAGGGTGGGTGGGCGGGGCTAGTATCTGTCAAGATAAGACTGATTTTGGTAAATGACATACCCTCTAAGAAAAGAGAGGGTGAGTGGGCGGGGCTAGTATCTGCTACGAAAGACTGATTTTGGCAAATGAGATTCCTCTAAAAAAATAGAGGGCGGGTGGGCGAGGTTAGTACCTACTACGATAAAAGTGATTTTCGCAAATGACATATCCTCGAAGAAAAAAGAGGGTGGTTGGGCGGTTCTAATGCCTGCTGAGATAAGATTGTTAATTGGCAAATGACATACCTTCTAAGAGAAGAGAGGCTGGGTGGGCGGGGATAGTATCTGTTAGCTGCAAAATGTGAGAAAGACGATTTGAGATGTGCGGAATGAAATATGAGATATCCGAAAAGAAATTCAATATGTGCGAAATGAAATATGAGTTGTACGAAATAAAATTCCAGTTGTGTGAAATGAAATACAAGCTGTGCAAAATAAAATGTGAGTTGTGAAAAATGAAAAATGTGGTATGCAAAATGAAAAATCAGATGTGCGGAATTGAATCAGACGTCTGAAATGAAATATATATGAGCTGCGCGAAATGAAAGATGAGATGTACAAACTGAAATTCAAGATGTGTGAAATGAAATATAAGATGTGCGAAATGAAATATGACATGTGTGAAATGAATTTCAATATGTACGAAATGAAATGTCAGATATGTAAAATGAAAAATGAGACGTGCGAATTGAAATTCAAGATGTGCGAAATGAAATGTGAAAAATGAAAAATAAGATGTGCAAAATGGAAAATGAGAAGTGCGAAATGAAATATAAGGTGTGCGAAATAAAGTATGAGATGTACAAAATGAAAAATGAGGTGTACAAAATGAAAAATGAGATGTGCGGAATAAAATATGAGATATCCGAAATGAAATTTGCACGTGTGAAGTGAAATTCAATATGTGTAAATTGAAATATGAGCTCAACGAAATTAAATATGACATGTTGAAATGAAATATGAGATGTGCAAAATGAAAAATGAGATGTGCGAAATGAAATTCAAGATATAGGAATTGAAATATAAGATGTGCAAAATGAAATATGAGATGTGTGAAATGAGAAATGAGATTAAATGGAAAATGAGTTGCGCGAAATGAAATATGAGATGTGCAAAACGAAATTCAAAATGTGCGAAATGAAATATGAGATGTGCGGAATGAAATTCAAGACGGGAGAGATGAAATCTGAGGTATGTGGAAAGATATATGAGATGTCCAAAATGAAATATGAGATGTGCGAAATGAAATATGACATGTGTGAAAAATAAGATGTGCAAAATGAAATATAAGCTGTGCAAAATAAAATATGAGATACGCAAAATGAAAAATGAGGTGTGCAACATGAAAAATGAGATGTGCGAATCGAAATTCAAGATGTGGGAAATGAAATGACATATGAGAAACGAAATTCAAACATGAAACATGAGATGTACGAAATGAAAAATGAGTTGTGCGAAATGAAATATGAGATGTCTGAAATGAAATTCAATATATGCGAAATTAAATACGAGATGTGCCAAACGAAATTGAAAATATGCCAAATGCGCGAAATCGAAAATGGAATCTGCGGAATAAAATTCAAGATCTGCAAAATGAAATTTAAGGTGTGGGAATTGAAATATGAGATGTCCGAAATGAAACACGAGCTGTGCGGAATAAAATATGACATGTGTGAAATGAAATTCAATATGTACGAAATGAAGAATGAGATGTGTAAAATTAAAAATGAGGTGTGCGAATTGAAATTTAAAATATGTGAAATAAAATTCAAGATGTGCGCAATGAAATATAAGTTGTACGGAACGAAATATGAGTTGTACGCAATGAAATTCAGATGTGCGAAATGAAATATGAGATGTTCGAAATGAAACATGAAATGCGCGAAATGAGAAATGATATGTACGAAATGAAAAATGAGATATTTGACTTTCGTCAATTTTTTGGTATGCAGAATATTGTTTGTAATTGATAAAAGTGCATTTGTTTAAACAAAATTAATTGCATTCGACGCCACAGTCCTCCTTCAACGAGTGTAATCGGTGTAATATCAGTCAATTAATGATTTTTAAAACTGACATGTTTTAACTATAAACAATTCTAATTTTTGTTTTATTTTGTTTGTAAATTCATAGTTCCGTTAAGATTTTTAAATGTTGATGGTTTTAAGACAATTTAACAATTATGGAAAATATTCGTTTAAAACACGTGGCCGAAATTCACTTGTTCAGGAGCAACGATGTATGTAAAAGCTCTGGATGTTGTACTTTGGTCATTACATTACCTACTTCCTCTTCATAACTTCTCACTGGAGATTTTAAAATATGCATTTCAATTATGGCATTTAAACTAATTTTAAACGTAGAACCCTTTTGAATTCTACCTACTTGGTTTTCAAGCTACGATACTCTTGCGACTTACCTGTACAGGACCGTAATGACACCACCCCCACTTTTTCTGGACAACCCCCGCAGCACTACATTGATTAAAAATACGGTTATCTACACCTGTTGAATTGAAACATTACTACCAAGATTCAACAGGTCCAAATGCACACCAGCAATAAAACAAAAATTCGACCGTATTAAATATATTTATTAATATTATACTTCCATCAGCAACTGGGATTAACTTCGAAAAAAGTCCTTAATCGGTCAATTAAAATCGATCAACTACCACAGAAAAAATTACACGGGCGACTTCTGAGGTTGTTCCTCCGTTGTCCTCTCCTTATTCCACTCCTTCAACCCTTCAGGTAACGACGTGTCCTCTTCGATAGATCCCGTCCCTTCGACGAACTCTTCATACGTGGACTTCTCCGGGAACGGCCTCTTCCCCAACAACTCTATCATATCCTCCCTACTGATGATCTCCTTCTTCAACAACCTCTCGGCAACCTTCGCAACTTTGTCTTTATGCTCAGTCAACAACTGTGTCGTTCTTACATGAGCTTTCGTTATAAGATTTCTCACTTCAACGTCGATCATCTGAGCTGTGCTCTCTGAGTAAGGCTTCTCCAGCATCATTTCTCCCTCTCTGGGCATATCGAAACTCACATTCCCGACTTTGTCGTTCATACCGTAGTGTACCACCTGCGCGTACGCACTCTGCGTGACCTTCTTAAGGTCATCCTGAGCGCCCGTCGTAATTCTCTTAAAGAAAAGTTCTTCTGAAACACGCCCACCTAAGGTCATGCACATTCGGTCGAAAAGTTGCTCCTTAGTGTACAAATACTGGTCTTTGGGTAAGTATTGGGCGTAGCCCAGGCCTTTACCACGTGGGATTATAGAAACTTTGAGTAAAGGATCGGCGTATTGGAGGAACCACCCGGCTACTGCGTGTCCGGCTTCATGGTACGCCACCGTTTTCTTCTCTTCTGGCGACAACACGTTCGTTTTCTTCTCCATACCGGCGACCACTCGCTCGATGGCTTGCTCGAAGTTTTTCATGTTTATTGAATCGTTCAAATCGCGGGCTGCTATCAGAGCCGCTTCGTTGCAAACATTTGCTATGTCAGCACCTGCAGGAAAAAACGTAAATTACTCCAAAACAGGATAAATCAAACATTCTCCTACCTGTGAATCCAGGAGTAAGAGCGGCCATCTTCCTAGCCAGGTCGTTCTTGTCCAACTGCGTCTTCAAAGGCCCCAAATGTACTTTAAAAATACTGGCACGTCCTTTAATATCAGGTGCCGGGACGAATATTTGTCTATCGAATCGTCCCGGTCTGAGTAAAGCTTTATCTAAAATGTCCACTCTATTAGTGGCCGCCAACACTACAACATTAGTGGTGGTGTTAAAGCCGTCCATCTCCACCAAAAGCTGATTCAGGGTGTTCTCCTGCTCGGAATGACCGCCGAAACTCCGCCCCCCTCTTTTACGTCCAACCGCATCGATTTCGTCGATAAAGAGAATGCAAGGTGCATGTTTTCGGGCCATTGAGAAGAGATCGCGGACTCTGGAGGGACCCACGCCGACGAACATCTCAAGAAATTCCGAACCGGAGACTGTGATGAAGGGTACGTTGGCTTCGCCGGCTGTTGCCTTGGCGAGGAGGGTTTTTCCGGTACCGGGGGGGCCTAAAATAAATTAGAGAGAAGTCCATTAGAATTTACTCCCAATTTACCACATATACTTAATACAATTCAATTAAATTTTATTATGTGGAGTCCTTCATAAAACAATTCTAAAATATTACAAACTTTATATATAGAAAATGCCTTTTTTTCATAATATACATAGGCATGTTTTAAGTTTTTGTGGCGAAAAAATGACTACGTATATTTAGAAAAAAAAAACCCAACATGGTAGCCCCACCCACCCACCCTATTTCATCTGTGATGATGGGTGGGGCTTATCTTAGGAAAACAACGATTTTGCATTTAAGCTCCGCCACACGACTTACGACAGGTAAAAAAAATCACCACGATTGAGACAGGGAGGGTGGGCGGGGCTTATATAATTCCTTTTTTCTTAATATACGTAGTCATCTATTTTAAATTTTTGTTGCAAAAAGATGATTATGTATACTAAGGAAAAAAAGGCAAAATATGAGCCCCGCCCACCCACCCTGCCTCAATTGTGATGATTTTTTTACTCGTCGTGATCCAAGAGGGCGGAGCTTAATTTTAAAATCCTTATTTCTCTACTAGAAATTTCCATGTAAGACATGCTTTTGCGCATCATGTTGTTCAAAAAATACTATGTATATTAAAAATTAAAGCCAGATTGAGATCGAGACGGATGGGTGGGGCTTATCTTTTGACTTTCTTTTTTACTTAATACATATAATTTGCTTTAAACAACACGATTACTCAAGAACACATTTCACATAGCAATTTGTCGTAGGTAAACAAGGATGTTGCAATTAAGCTCCGCCCCATGACTTACGACGGAGAAAAAACTCATCAAGATTGAGATGGGGCGGGTGGGCGGGGCTTATATAATGCTTTTTTTTTGTTAATATACTGAGCATTTTTATTACAAAACAGAAGAAAAAGCTTGTAAAGTAACATTTCTGGAGTTTTTTGACGAATTTCTTGTATCTACAAACGCCATAATCTGGAAAATATACCCAATCGTCTGCTTTTCGCAAAAACATCGATTCTGCATATCGCAAGTGCGTCATGATCAGAATCGTCAAAACAAGTCGAAATATAATTCAGAACTCATAAAATTCGATAAAAATAACATTTCTAGCTAAAACTGATATAAAATGTTGTTCAATAATTTGGAATTTTTGTGGGAAAATTTGGATGCCTAGGATAAAAATTCAAGGCGGATTCATGAACCACAAGCAGAGTGGTCCGAACACAAAGTTTATTCACTAAAATTGTGAAGTGTCAGCTTATTTTTTTACAATTTTCTTGATTGTACTAGCTTTCAGATAATTTTTGTAAGACTGTACACTAAATCTAGTTATTTTGATAAAAATAATTGAGGTTATTTTTATTGTATCCTTCATTTAAATTCAGTTAGCATTTTTTAACTTTTGTACAAGGGTTGCCAATTATTCAACTGGAAGTAATGCTACCACTGCAGATTTTTTTTTTTATGTTACGGCCTTTTTAAATGCAATTTAAATCAAAATAAAGTGAACACTGACTAGAATAATGTATTTCTCACTATGTCCAACAAAAAAGCACCAATTTTTTTTTTACTTCCTAGGCTCCTTTTATGTTTTCTCAACATTTCATGACTTCTAGAGTATGAAAAAGTCAGTCTCCCGTATTCGTCTGTCTGTCGTTTATGTCGATTTTATTAATAATGCTAACCAAAATTTCTCCCATTAACAATTTGATGATGTCACCTAAAAATTTTGCATAATAAATGCTATTTAAAAAAATTTGAAATCTTCTCGGGGGTCCCAACTGTCTTTTTCAAAAATGTAAAACCTTCTCGGGGGCGCAAAATGTACTTTTTTTTGTGAAACCTTCTCGGGAGTCCCAACTGTCTTTTTTAAAAATGTAAAACCTTCTAAGGGGCCCCAAATGCCTTTTTTATGTGAAATCTTCTCGGGGATCCCAACTGTCTTTTTTAAAAATGTAAAACCTTCTCGGGAGTCCCAACGGTCTTTTTTTAAAATGTAAAACCTTCTCTGGGGCCACAAATGTATTTTTTTAAGAATCTGAAACCTTCTCAGGGGTCCCAACTATCTTTTTTAAAAATGTAAAACCTTCTCGGGAGCACAAAATGTCTTTTTTTTTAATGTGAAATCTTCTCGGGGGTCCCAACTGTCTTTTTCAAAAATGTAAAACCTTCTCGGGGGCGCAAAATGTACTTTTTTTTAATGTGAAACCTTCTCGGGAGTCCCAACTGTCTTTTTTAAAAATGTAAAACCTTCTAGGGAGCGTCAAATGTCTTTTTTTAAGAATATGTGAGTTTAGGTTTTCTGAAGAATCTCATAAGCAAGGAGTAGCCCCGCCCAGCGACCCCCTCTTCATTCCAGTGATTGCGCTTATTCAATCTTATCTTGGCAAGTACTAGCCCCGCCCACCCACCCTACATTTTCTTACAGGGTATGTGATTTGCCAAAATTAGTTTTATCTTAGCATGTACTAGGCCCGCCCACCCGCCCTCTATCTTCTTAGAGGGTATGTGATTTGCCAAAATCAGACTTATCAGGCAAGTATTAACAAAAAAAATAAAAATTGACAAATTACAGATCGAAAAATTGAAGAAACGAAAAACTGAAAATTCCAAAAAGTTATAAATTAAAAATTGAAAACTCGAAAAATTGCAAATTGAAAAACCGCAAAATCTGAAAACTGAAACATCCAAAAGCTGAAAAACTTAAAAATCAAAACTCGAAGAGTCCCATATTGTAATGTATTTTTTCATGTATTGTTTTTCTTTTCATGCATTCTTTTGTTTATTGCAACAAATCGATAGGTACCCGATTTGTGTATGCACTCTTTGTGTAAAACACCAATAAACTTGTTATTATTATCATCTTAAAAATGAAAAAAAACAAAAAAAAAATAAAAATTGAAAAATTGCAAATCGAAAAATTGAGGAAACGAGAAACTGAAAAAATTGAAATTGAAAAAAAAAAAATTAAATCGAAACACTGAAAAATCGAATAAGTGAAAAAATGACGATAATAAAAAAACCGAAAAATTTAAAAACATAATAATTGAAAAAGTCAAAAGTTGAAAAATTGAAAATTTTAAACTTGAAAACTCAAAAAATTGAAGAATTGAAAATTCAAGCAAAAAATCGAGAAGAGGGAAGTTCTGTCGAAAAAATCTTCACGTAAAACCTGGTGGTGTCAAATGTCTTTTTTTTAATGTGAAACCTTCTCGGGGTTGGGGGGGGGGGCAATTGTCTTTTAAAAATGTAGAAATCGACACAGATAGACGCCAAACAGACATCCAGAAATGGGAGACCTATATGGTATAGGGGTCATGAAACGTTGAGAAAACATGAAAGTAGCTATTTGCCAGATGGCTATTCTATTAGAATACTTGCTTAAATTACGCTCGGAAATTCAAAACAGACAGTTTCTGTGGATAGTACAGCTTGATTGCATAAACTCTATTCTCTGTTTGAAAAATTGGTCGAAATTTATTTCGACAGAACTTCGCTCGTGTATAAAACTTAAACTTAACTTTTCAAATTTTGTTCTTTAATGATAAACTCTACAAGTTAAAATAAAAATATGTCTGAACTCTTAAAGTATAAAGGAGCATGTTATGTAAGTAAGTAAAATTGTAAAATGTTATTCCATTTTGTTTGTTTTTTTTTTTTTTCAAAAAATGTGGAATCTAAGGTAAAAACTCAAAACAGATTAATAAACCACAAGTACAAGAGTATCTTTATTTTATAAAATTTAAATAAAATTTGCTATTGTAAATTGTGGAGATGATTAGACAATTTTTCGTTAGCGTTTTACCAACTGCACAATATTTCTAAGATTTCTGTAAAATTTGACAACAATCGATCCGGTAATTGCGAAGATTATCTGTCTAAAATAATTGACACAGACGACAGAAGACAGACAGACAGACAAGCAAACATACAGAAACGGGAAACCTACTTTTTCGTATTCTAGAGGTCATAAAACGTCGAAAAAAGCAAGGATTTGTCGGATGGACATTATTACAATACTTAATTTACGCTCAGGAAGTAAAAACAGAGCCGAATAATCGCAAAATAATAATTTCATCATAAAATTTCCGATAGATAAACACGAATTACATTAATGAAAGATATACTTAACCATAATTTTTTTGAGGACGTTAAATTCGATTTTTATGTTTTAGGCGATAATGTTAGGAGATTATCTGTAGCATAAAATCGTGAATATCAGTATTTTCTTCTTCTGCGAACTGTACACAATCTGTTTAGTTATTTCCATTTAAATGTTATAACTTTATTCACAAAGCAGATAAAGATTAAAATGTCATGTAAAATAATTAATTAAGCTTCATAAATCAAAATTTAGTGTTGCAGCAGTCTATTTTGAAGCAAATATTTGATGTGTGCCAACAGCATAAACATTTACACGATAATTTAGCGATACCTATAAATTACATAAAATGTGGTTTCGTGTTAATTTCGCTTAAAAATCAAAGCAAATAATAATTAAAGAATAAAAAAACATTAGATATTTCCAAAGGTATCCTATAAAAAAAACAACTCCGTTTTACTTGCATACTGTCAGTGTTACTCAAAATGTTACTGTGCAGCAACGCTTTGCTACAAAAAAGGTGTACTAATGCTAATTTTAGTACACTAAACTATTATATAACTGCCCAACAGGTGCAAAGATCAAGTGAAAATCGCATAAAAAACTAAAACCCTATTCGACACATGTTTGTTAACCAATAGGAACGCTAGGTTGATTTTTCAACAACTCAAATATTTTAATTTTCTTTTCTTTTTCAGGAGTGTCTGACGCGCATTCGCTTAACGTAAAATAGGTAAACTAAAATACAAAAATTTCGTCATTCTTAGTAGCATGAGAATCAGGATACGTAATATTCTTATATAATTAAAATTGTGACATTTTCTAAGTGTTTTCATGGTACTAAAAAATTAAATTTGAGACAAAATGGACTAGAAATATTCCCAAGAAATTATTATTTATTTATTCATAATCTGATGATCAGAATTGCAGGAGATATGTTGTAATTTTTTTTTTTTTGTTCTAATGGAAATTTTGGAGTGTGAGACACAATATTGTTTTTATTTGCACTAAAAAATCGTAGTCGTAATTTAGAAACCAATTTAAGATAGACAGATTACACTTTACTACTTTTCTCACCTGTTTTAATTAATTAATAATTATTCAAAGTGAGATGGAATATTTTAAATAAATTTCAAAATATTATTTTAAAGCACCTACCTGTCAACATCGCTCCCTTCGGAATTTTTGCCCCAAGATCAATATACTGTTGAGGGTTTTTCAAAAAATTTACAAACTCCATAATTTCAATTTTAGCTTCTTCACATCCAGCCACATCCCTATTAAATTCAGACAATATTTAACACAAAAAGCATGAATATGAGGTAACAATTTAAGTAACAATCAAAAATTCAATAAAAAAAAACATACTTGAACCTCACTCCAATTTCATTAGAATTTATAAGTTTGGCTGTGCTTTCCATTACACCTCCAAAAAGGCCACCTCCACGGCGCCTCTTTCCTCCACCCATCATCTCGGCAGATCGTCTCATCATGTAAATAAGGAATCCAATTACAAGCAGCGTCGGTAAAATACCCGATAAACTAGCAGCCTCAACTTCAGTCTTGTAGATAACGGGTACAAAATTAGGAGGCTCAACATTCATTTCTATTTGTGCATTTTCTAAATTACGTTCAAATGAATCAACACTACCAATATTAAACCAAACAAAATTCTAAAAATTTAAAATTAGTCAAAGTCACAAAACCATAATTTATCACATACAGCACCATCCACGGTATTTCCGGGGAGAAGTCTCACTCTAACCCATTTTTTATTAACAACTTCTAATTTTTCTACAATACCTCTTGACAAATAGCTATGTACGAATTCTTTCCAACCGATTTCTTTATAGCCCATCTCCCATAATGTTATAGTGGCAAGAAATGCGATGGCCGCTCCTGCTCCCAAAATGTACCACTTGTCTCTGTCGCCGTCCCCAAAGGGCTTCCCTCCACTACCCCTACTTTTTATCATTAGTTATGTCATAACCTTCACATAAATGATAACTTACCTGCTCCCGGTGCCTCCAAATAGCCCGAAGGACCACTGGTCGTAGGGTTTGGAGCTACCAGATTGGCTTGTCTTCGGGGGCGGCTTAGGCTGCTCCTCCTTCGCTTCTTTTCCTTTGGTTTCTTTGCTCTCTTTAGCCTCCTTCGGAGGTTCTGTTTTTGCATCTTTTGCTTTCTGTTTGGATCCCGGCTCAAAATATTTCTCAAAACCTTTAGGCGGTTTCTCGCAGAAGAGTCTCCATTGGTTTAATACGGCTTTAAATGTTGAATTATTCTAGAAATTTAAGCATGACAAGAGGTTGCATAGGTTAGGTAAAAATTTCATCATACTTTGCTTACACTAACGTTGCATTGTTTGAGGTTTCTAAATAGCAATTTTTCTAACTTTTTACTGGTGCTAATGAGACGATATGCCATAGCAAATAATGAGAAAAAAAATTATTTATATCACATAACTAACCTCACACTTGATAAATTTTAGTTACAGATGATTTATGCACTGATTTGTGGTGTGTGGTTGGTAATGTCGGCAGTGTTTCGAATCGCTGGGGCAAGTGTCAGCTGTCATATAAAAAAGTCAGTAACAAACTACAGCGTGGTCACAGATATATGCTGGTCACAAAGGGAGTAGGGGATAAACAAGAGACGCAACTCAGTGTAAAATATCGAGACTCCACGCCAACTGACGTTGCGAATTGGAACTAATATTAAGAGCGCGCAGATTTAAAACATCTGCCCATTTTTGTTCTTAAATTTTATTTTGTTTTCACTACTGCTGCATTAAACAGCTGTAAAAAATTATAGTAAAGTACTAAAACTAAAGTATTTTCTTCTTGACATAGCAATAAAAAAACAAAGCCTAGGTTCAAAACAATTTATTAAATAAAAATAACAGTCGTAAGACAGATGTATCTAAAAAGTACATAAAAGAGCACAAAAAAAAGGTGTCAAAATATTCTACTATTATTATAGAAAATCAAATTAATTCATAGTTTTCTCGATTATTCTATCTTAAAAACTTCTTAAAAAGTTCTTTATTCCTTGGAAATGTAAAGTATTTTACTGTAGGATCTGTCTGAAAACACTTTCCACAACCAGTAACTGCACATTTTTTTCGGTATTGATAAGAACCCTATAAATGTTTCATTTTCCATGTTAAATATATGCTTAAAACTAATTTTAACGCTTACCTTCTCCATTTTTGAATTATTAAAACAAAATTTCTCAAGACCAGTGAAAACGGCAGCTTTATAGCACACAATTAACAAATCGAAAAGCCAAACTAAAATACTGTTTTTTTTTTGCAACAATGTAATTCAAATTTAAAAGAGCGTGCAACATGGCTGCCAATAGCGCAAATTAAAAATAACTGTTTCACTATTTCTCATCTAATCAAAAAGGCTTTGATTATTAAGAAAATAATAATAATAAACGCTTAATGTACAAGAATACACAATCAATATATAAAATTTAACAATCTTGCTTTTAAAATATTTATTTCATTTTATTACAAAATAGATTTCTATCACAATTTATATTGACTGCCCTCTCTGAATGCGAACAACAACTATTGTTATGGTTCAAGGTCGCTAATTTAACTTGCTACCCCCTGGTATTTAATATCAGTGTAGTACATGATACAAGTAAATATGGTATGGACATCCCATGAACCAAAACTCGTCTTCTTCTGCGCAACGTTATCTGACGTCATGTGGAATGAATGACCTTCCACTTCTGTGTTGACATCTGATGTCAAATATCAATTTTAAGGGTTATGAGGCAGTTATGAGTTTTTGTGGTTATGAGGGTTATTGTTTATTGTTACCAAACTGATGATAGCAAATAATAAGAAAATATCTGTGTCCTTGTTATGCTCCGTCTTTTCTACAGCAGGTATTTTTTGCTTCCAGTATGGCGATCCTGTTACTGTCATTTGGCCGTCAATTGCCTTGGTGGTAACACGTCTTCCACGACTGTTTGCTGGTTACCGGTGACACTTTCTCGTTGAATAGGGCTGGAGTTACTTTGGGACTGGAATAGTGTTCTTTCCGGTCCGTTAACTCAATAATTCTAGTACAGTCTGTCGTAACCTCAAATCGTAAACACATCAACCTTTCGTTGACAGATAGCGAAAATTACTAGCCTCGCGCTATCTTTGTTTAAGACATAGGTTAGGTTCCTCTCTGTCGAATTCCGACCACAGGCAGTTTGCCGTACTTTCTAAAAGTAATAGTAGATCTAGTGACTTTAGTTGGGCTCGGTAAATATTTCAATTTCCCGCCTGAATACAGCCAGGTGACGTCAGCAAACCTGCGTATGTCCATACCATATTTACTTGTATCATGAGTGTAGTACATAGAATATTCTCACTTGGAATAATTTGATAACACTTCACACATTTTCAAAATAGTTGGCAATTTGTGCCAGCATAAATTGTGGGCTGAAATAATTTTTTCCAAAGAACCACAAATCGTCATATCTACAATCCAGTTCCATATTTGTCTACAAGAATTTACCATTTTAAACATGTTGTAAGTTTCTTGTTCTGAAAAGATGACTACGTGTATTATGAAAAAGAGCAAAATATAAGCCCCGCCCACCCCCTATCTCAATTGTTATTTTTTAATCGTCGAGAACCAAAGGAGCGGAATTTAATTGCAAAATCCTTTGTATTTCTCTAGAAGAAATTTAGAATATTGTGTTATTCAAAGAATACTATATTTTGCCGTTTTATCTTAATATGTGTAGTCATCTTTTCACAACAAGAAACTAAAAATATGTTTAAAATAGTAAATTTGTATAGACAAATATCGATTTTGCAATTAAGCTCCACCCCTCCCATCGGAATTGAGATAGGGTGGGTGGGCGGGGCTTCTATTTTGCCTTGTTTTTCTTAATATATATAGCCATTTTTTCATAACAAGAAACTTAAAACATGGTTGAAATGGTTTTGCAAGGAAATATGAATTTTGCAATTATGAGGCGGGGACTAATTGCAAATCGATATTTCCTTATACAAATTTTCCATTTTAAACATGTGTTAAGTTCTATGTTGTGAAACAAAATCTACACATATTCAAACAAAAACACAAAATGTAATCCCGCCCACCCACCCTATCTCTATTGTAATGATTTTTCTTATTCGCCGTTAACCAAGGGGGCGGAGCTTAACTGCAAAATATTTATTTCTTTACAAGAAAGCACAAACATGTTTTTGAGTATCGTGTTGTTCACAGAATACTATGTATATTAAGAAAAAAAGCCAAAATATATGCCCCACCCACCCACCCCATCTCAATTGTGACGATTTTTTTAATTCTTAGAAACTTAAAACACGTAAATTCTTATAGACAAACATGGATTTTGCAATTAAGCCCCGCCCTCCGATCTGACGACGAATGAAAAATTCATCACAATTGAGCTTGCGATGGATATGGGTGGGGTCTAATCTTTGGCTTTATTATTTTCTTAATATACATAGTATTCTTTGAACACGATACTCAAAACATGTTTTTAATATCTGGTAGAGAAATCAGGATTTTGCAGTTAAGTTCCGTCCCCTTGGCTCACGACGAATAAAAAAATCATCAGAATTGAGATCGGGTGGGTGGGCGGGGCTTATATTTTGCCTTGTTTTTCTTAATATACATAGCCATTTTTTCATAACAAAAAGACAACATGTAAGCCCGCCCACCCGCCCTATCTCAATTGTGATGATTTTTTAAAACTTAGAAACCTAAAACAAGTTTAAAATGGTGAATTCTTGTAGACAAATATCGATCTTGCAATTAAGCTCCGCCCGTCGATCTCACGACGAATGAAAAAAATCATCACAATTGAAATAGGGTGGGTGGGCGGAGCTTCGTTTTGCCTTTTTGACAACGGAGTTTATAAATTACAATTTTCAGCTCTAAAAGCAACGTCAGTGGGAACAGCAACTGCAACCATTTTATCTAAAGAATTTAGTCGATCTAAATAACCGTTAATCCTATGGTGAATTTCCTCAGGATTACCAATTTTTCTTGTCTCTTGAAATGATGGAGACAAAAGCGCATGACACTACTTACAAACTTAATAGTAAATATACATGAAGTTATGGCAGTATCTACCGATATAAACAGCAAAGAGTAAAAACTGGCTTACTTCAGTTAAGCGGCTTATACGTAAGCGGCTTAATAAAGTACGATATAAACGTAGTAACAAGAAAAAATTAAAGCCAAAGATTAAGCTCCACCCATTAGCTGCCCTAAGCTAAATAGTAATGAAGTTTTCATTAATTGACAAATCTAGGGGCGGAGCCTAATCGCAAAATGCATATTTCCTTACAGAAATTTACCATTTTAAACGTGTTTCAAATTTCTAAGAATAAAAAAATCATCACAATGGAGATGGGGTTGGTGGGCGGGGTATATATTTCGCCTTTTTTTTTTCTTAATATACATGTAATCTTTGAACAACACGATACTCAAACTCTTGTAAAGAAATAAGTATTTTGCAGTTAAGCTCTGCCCCCTTGGTTCACGGGCGAATAGAAAAAATAATCACAATTAAGATAGGGCGGGTGGGCGGGCTTACATTTTGCCTTTTTGTTTTAATATGCAGATTTGCCCTCCGGTTAAATATAATGAAACGTACAAGTCTCAAACACAACTCTACATTACAAAAAATGTCGTTCTTTCTGGCGCTAAATTTAACTTGAATCGGGACACTACAGTATTATTAATTATTGTTTCATTACAAACGTAAATTTTCAAGTTATTTAATTTATTATGACCATTTATGTAAGTAATCCCGGAGGAAAATTTGTTCCGTCTCTTGGTTGTTACTAAATGTTTGACTTTTTAGTACATAAGTCTAACATTTGTCGTTTTCGGCGGTTGACAGTGAAAATCTGGTATTGCAGACAAACATTCACTTGAACAATGACAATCAGAAAGAAATTCTACATTTGGGTGGGGATCCGTCACTATTTCGATTAAAGTTAAAAATCTTCTGAATTTTGACGATAGCGCCATGAATATGATACAAGGCAGGAAACAAGCAAAATTTAGTTATCACATTCTATAAAAAATTTCAAACAAATAATTCACACTAATTCAAGTTAATGATTAGATCAAAATTAGTTCAAATTCAAGCTGTAAGAAAACCCTTCAGTCGGCAATGATATTAATTTCTCTCAAAGTGGATCTGTTTCAGGCCAATTTGTAGCGTCCCGTTTAATTTAAAATCTTCACAGTTAACTCGACAATTTTCATATATGTTAAACAAAATTTTTCTACAACTGAGTTTTGAGCATTTATTCTCAGACATTCCTCTCACAGCGAAGTGTGCACCAAGACGACATTATCATGAGAATCGTGTGCTTACACTCACAGCACCAAAACAAGAAGTGGGTCAAGAGACCCTTTTAAAATCTAGGGCGACCTTCTGTGAACCCCCATACCCATGGGTGATTACCTGTTAGTTTTTGTTTGACGCGAAATTTAATTTTTCAAATCGGGACACCACAGTGTATTGTAGAAGCAATATTTTTGTCTTAGAAAAGTGTAGGTTATGTTGTCTGAATTTCAAGGAACGGGTTTTAAATAAAATGAGCACTGATATCAAACAATAGTTTATTAATTCATAAAAATGTATAGGTACAATGATGTCTATAATTTGAAAACTAGAAAACAAAATCAGTTGGTTTAAAAAGACAAGTATTGCATTGATGCTTGCATTATAACTAGATAATCATAATAGTACTCATAATACTCACACAATCATTAGCAGTATTAACAACATTACAAAAATTTCAAACAATGTTCAAATAATAAAAAACAATTTAACATAATTGCAACAACCACTCGGTTCTGTGCTGAATCGCATAATAACTTAAGTTTCTTAACCTAAAACCGAATACCACCATGGAGATTGTCTTAAATTAGATCCCAACATCCTAAAAAGTTAATTTTTACCATTGTGAGATTGATAGTCGACGTAGAGCGCCTTCATGTCCGAAAGCGCCTTTTCTATTCTTTTTGCGAATCGGTGGCAGTCCTGAAACGAACTTATTAATATCACGACAATCACCCAATGCGTCGCTTATACCGTTTTAGTGCTGCTCCTTTTGTTCGATATGTGGAAGAAAAACATATCTTCGCCCGCTATGATGTACGAAACACCATAGCCATCGTCGGCCACGGGCCCAAAACCACCCCCTGCACTAATACAGTTGGGGTGCTTATTGAGATCCATCCTGCCAGTCTGGCCATGGGGGGTTTGTGATGTTGACAATCTCCACGGCTCACTCAGCACTTTTTGAAGGAAGGGTGATTCTACTTCTAGGTATTTTGAAACTACATAGAGACAGAACAGGTGTCTGTCGATGCCTTTGCCGCACATGGCGTCTTGGTAGGCAGTCTAGAAAAAAAACGAATTGATAGTGTCTTGAAGAGCTCGATCGCCTTGTTCAGAGGCATCGATCCCGTAACCGTGATCCATGATACACACTTTGAATTTTGTTCATGTTTAAACCTCCTTACCTGGTGTTTCTCACAAGCCTCTATTAGCAGCTGCACTCGTTGTTCAGTGCTGCAATTAGGATCCTCCATCGATTTGACCCACTTTGACGACTGTACGGTACACGGTCTCACGGTTTCGGTACGTCCTTCCCTATATAACCTTGTCATACTGGCTTCATAAGTCAGATCGAACTTTCCAGCGTCTCTATAGTAAGCCAGCTGCAGCGCCATCTGGAGATACGCGTCTGGACTTAAACGACAACGTTTTATAAACCCTTTGCCGTAGTTATTATGGACGTAAATTCTTAAATCGATGTCTTGTATTAAACTAGCGACTACTTTCATGCTCTTGTCGATGGCCCCTTGACATTCGTGTTTTATTTCCCAGTTGAGTCGAATTGGGGTGGGGGGAGTGATTTCTGGAGTACCAATCGCGTTGCCGTTTTCGTCGTATCTGATACATACAACGTGAGTACAAATATAATAACGAGTCATTGGTGAAAATTGTCACAAAACCTGCCACTTTCACACAAAAGCGGCGGATTTAGTTTTGATTATTATGCAACTAATTATCAAAACCTCATCCGCAAAGCTCTTCATGCATTCAAAGCAATCATGCTTGGAAGTGTAAGCGTTAGTGCAGAAAATGTGGTGTGTTTAACTACAGTCCCTAAATAAATAATTACCGTTTATTAAGTTCATCGAGGATGAGGTACTCCCATAAATGTACAACAACGGCAGCATCAGCCCTAGTCATCGAGAAAGAAACAATTTACAGTGAGGTCCACAACCACGATAACATAGAATAACATTAAAAGAAAAGCGCAAAGAAGAGAAAAGTAAATAAAGTACAGTGGGACGCAACAGCGGGTTCCATTCATCTAGAGAACATTACAATGATGAGGATGCTTATTATTACCGGTTTTCGTGGACCTGGGCCGTTACCACCCACTCCCAAACATGGGAAGCTACCGCTGCGTCGGCCCTGCATTAGAGTATTCGAAAATCTATATTAAAAAAACAGTGAACACCAAAAAATGAGAGGATGTTACAAAGTATGAAGTAAACACTATTTTTTCCCAAATCTCTGGACGTACTATATTTGCTGATAAATCGTCAACATACACACAACTATATTCTATTCTTTTGTAACATCATCTCATACTTCACTAGGAAAAAATATGAATAAACATAGCTGTGGAAAGTTTTTAAACCAAAAATTAGTAAAATGAAAGAAAAAATAACTTATCACGCACAAGTTTTTCTTAGTAAGTAAACCATACAAAAATTCTTTCTTCTTTAATTTTCCGACTGCTACATTTTCAAAATATAAATTTGGACAACTATAGTGTGTTCAGTTCATCTCAAAAATGAATTCACAAAAACGCGTTTCTATTCACCTGTAAAAAAATTTGAATCAGCAACCTCTTTTTTTTTGTTTTTTGCAAACAACGATTTCTGTAAGACTTTTTTTTAATTTAAACTTATTTTAAGAAATGTTTACAATTACGCAATAACCACTCACCACGAATGCTCTGCATTAAAGCCAATCTGCAACAAAACAACAAAGTCAACTAAAATTCGAAATTAAGGGGTCAGTACGAACCCGTCCGTTGTTTCCTATGCACAAAGTAAACGACTTGTCGAACCAGCGGTCGTACCCTTTTCCATGCAACAGAATTTTGCCGTAGTTGTCCAATTTGTCAGGGTCCGCCTGAAATAAACAACATCAATGAAAATTCTAACAAGTATAAGGAAGTTCGCACCGCATCGTAATCGTAGGGCAAATCGTCCAACGTGACGAGAAAAGCGGCTTTTTCTATGGTGTCCAAGGACGATTTGTTGACACCTTTACCGAAGAACATTCGCCTGACGTTGGCCCAATGCGTTCTTTCGCCTGCTGTTAAAGCGGCTAGTTTTTCTTCACCAGGAAGCGGCTCGGATTTGTCGTCCAGAATCTGTTGGATTTGTCTGAAAATAAAAATTTGTGATAATTAATTATCAATTAAAAAAATCCAACTATACAAAATTTTGTAATAAAAACTATTTCTGATAAAAGTGCAGCCTCGATATTGGGCACTTCTTTTGATAACTGTCTTTTGTATTTGTATTATTTTTAGATTTTTTGATGTTTGATTCCAATTTTTCATTTTTTAAATATTCCAATTTTTACGTTTTTCGACATCTCGGATTTCGATTTTTAAATTTTTTCGGTTTTTCAATTTCTGGATTTGTAATTTTTTGACTTGAAATTTCTTTCGATCTTCCGATTTTTCGATTTTTCAATTTTTCAGGTTTTTAATTTGATGTGTCGATTTCTCGTTTTTTCAATTTTTCGAAATTTCAGATTTTTCACTTTTTTGGTGTTTCACTTTTTGGATCTTCCGATTTTTCAACTTTTCGGTTTCGAATTTTGCGCTTTTTCAATTTTTCGATACTGCAGTTTTAGGATTTTTCAATTTTTCGATATTTTAAATTTAAAATTTTTCAGTTCTTTGATTTTTAGTTTTCTATTTTTCAATATTTCAATTTTTAACTCGATTTTTCACTTTTTAGTGTTTCAAATTTCTCAATTTTTCTGTTTTTCGGTTCCACAATTTTTCGACTTTTCAATTTTTCAAATTTCAGATTTTTTGATTTCTCAATTTTTTATTTTTTTTAAATTTACATTTTCGATTTTGCCATTTTTAAGTTTCTTTGATGTTTGATTCCAATTTTTCATTTTATAATATTCCAATTTTTCAATTTCTCGGTTTCTGGATTTTTAAAATTTTTCGGCTTTTCAATTTTTGAATTTTTAATTCGATTTTTCACTTTTTTGTGTTTCAAATTTCTCAATTTTTCAGTTTTTCGGTTCCACAATTTTTCAACTTTTCAATTTTTTAAATTTCAGATTTTTTGATTTTTCAATTAGTTTTTTTTAATTTTTAATTTTTATTTTTCAATTTTTCGATATTTTAAATTTAAAATTTTTCAGTTCTTTGATTTTTAGTTTTCTATTTTTCAATTTTTCAATTTTTAATTCGATTTTTCACTTTTTTGTGTTTCAAATTTCCCAATTTTTCAGTTTTTCGGTTCCACAATTTTTCGACTTTCCAATTTTTTAAATTTCAGATTTTTTGATTTCTCAATTAGTTTTTTATTTTTTAATTTTTTTTAAATTTACATTTCCCATTTTGCCATTTTTATGTATTTTTGATGTTTGATTCCAATTTTTCATTGTATAATATTCCAATTTTTCAATTTCTCGGTTTTTGGATTTTTAAAATTTTTCAGCTTTTCAATTTTTGAATTTTTAATTCGATTTTTCAGTTTTTTGTGTTTCAAATTTCTTAACTTTTCAGTTTTTCGGTTCCACAATTTTTGGACTTTTCAATTTTTCGATTTTTTAAATTTTCAATACATATTTTAAATTTCAGATTTTTCACTTTTTTGGTGTTTCACTTTTTCTATCTTCCAATTTTTCGGTTTCGAATTTCGCGCTTTTTCAAACTTCTAATCATCAATTTTTCGATACTGCAGTTTTAGGATTTTTCAATTTTTCGATATTTTAAATTTAAAATTTTTCAGTTCTTTGATTTTTAGTTTTCTATTTTTCAATTTTTCAATTTTTAATTCGATTTTTCACTTTTTTGTGTTTCAAATTCCTCAATTTTTCAGTTTTTCGGTTCCACAATTTTTCCACTTTTCAAGTTTTGAATTTTTTAAATTTCAGATTTTTTGATTTCTCAATTAGTTTTTACATTTTCGATTTTGCCATTTTCTGTTTTTTTTTATGTTTCCAATTTTTCATTTTATAATATTCCAGTTTTTCAATATCTCAGTTTTTGTTTTTTTAAAATCTTTCGGCTTTTCAATTTTTCAATTTTTAATTCGATTTTTCACTTTTTTGTGTTTCAAAATTTCTTAATTTTTCAGTTTTTCGGTTCCACAATTTTTCGACTTCAATTTTTCGATTTTTTAAATTTTAGATTTTTTGATTTCTCAATTAGTTTTTTTAATTTTTAGTTTTTCAATTTTTTAACATTTACATTTTCGATTTTGCCATTTTTAGATTTTTTTGATATTTGATTACAATTTTTCATTTTATAATATTCCAATTTTTCAATTTTCTACATCTCGGTTTTTGGATTCTTAACATTTTTCGGCTTTTCAATTTTCCATTTCCCAATTTTTTAACATTTTGGGAATTTAAAATTCTTCAATTTGTGGATTTGTAATTTTCTGACTTTTCAATTTTAAATTTCTTTCGATCAAGAATATTCTGTCTAAATTACTTCAATATTTTTCTAAATTCTATTGTTATACAAAACCTTTTTTTAAAGCTGGCCATAGGGATTTACGTGCTAAAACTTTTAGTCGTAGTTTTTTCTGACATTGGAAAATTTGGAAATTTTCCTAAATCAAAAAATATCCATAACACTGAAGTATAAATCCCATGAGGAAAAGCGTTAATTAAAACAGGACCGTATGCACATGAAACATAGCAGTGAAAATTTTCTGTACAGATTTTACGATAGGATCTTAAGCAGATTCAATAACTATATCATAACAATGAGTAATTAGCACAACGTGATTGTAATAAACGCATTTATGGCCAGGTACAGGGCGGTATTAAGTCCGGAACTGCAGTAGAATTCTTTTAATTCTGGCAAGGTATAAGTTTCCGCCCTGCGGGCATTTTTATCAGCATTAATACAGTGTGTCGGACGAAGACAGAACCACAAACATACCAGATGTCGTAATTGGTACAGTTTTACAAGACCTCGCCACAATTAAAAAAATTTCTTCAACTCTCCAAATTAGGGATTCTAAATATAATCATTTTTCCAAAATAAAGGGAAATAACGAAAACTGTATCAAAACACCCTTCGCCGTCAAACGTATAATTTTTGTAGTGTGTTTTACGAAATTATTATTAGAGAACAAAAATCTTGTTGAAAAAAATAGACATAAGAAAATTAAAAATCAATGATTTAAACTCTAAAACTAGCAAGAAAAATAAAAAGTCACGGAGCTACTTTTTCATACTCGTAAAAATCAAGCATTTTATTTTGTTGAAAATATTTTTTTCTATTTAGTGTTCAATTATTTTGACGTAAACTGTATTCAAAAAGGGCCAACTCTATTTTTACAGTCAAGAAACTTTCGTTAGTTGCTTTCTTATTACGGTCCTGAGCATGTAAATGCATATAAAAAGCGAGCCCGAGATTTGCATTTTCACAATCTGAATCATCTACCCAACAGTCAACAAAATGTTGTACGTCCTTTTGATAGTGATTGGTGCGTCCTTCATCGAACAAGGTATGTTAATTTGTTTTCCAAAAATATAACCGTGCTTAAAAAAATGTTTTTCTTTAATGAACATATCCGCATGCAGTAAATACCAAATTTAACGGTATGTTGAACAGTACCTAAGAATTACATTGCACTGATGATAATAGTACCCTTCATCCAAAAAATTGTGTTACGTTGTAGACTCTAATCACAATTTTTTAATTTAGTACGAATAAATCGTGATAGCGGTGCATAAAATTCAAATATTTCCACTATACTATTCAAAAATGTATATGTATAAGTCATAATAAAATATATTGTTGCAGCTCTTAGTTTGCAGTGTTACGTGTCCAACACCCACCCCCTGAGTAACAATTTTATCGAAAATACTATACAAGATTGTGATCCATACCTAACAAATGCGGCACAACCCTTTGGAGCACCTGATTTAAATTTAGGTACTTTTTTAGGTACTTCCAGCCGCTGTTACACAATGCAAGTGACAACAAGTAATGACAAATGTTTTTTTTTTCCACAATTTGACACAGTTTTGCAGGTAGCCCAATAGCCAATTTCGCTCTAAAAGGCTGCGTTCCGGCGGGCCTCTGCGACTTCATTGTAAGGCCGATTGCTGAGAGACACGCTCTTGAGAGAGGGGTAACTGTTGTAGCAACAAGATGCGATCAATGCGCCCAACCACACTGCAATCTTTAAAATTGTCGATTCAAAGAAGTCCAATTATTTCGGAATGTACATCATTTTTGTGACTTGAATTAAACACAATAAAACATGTAGTACAAGGATTCAGGCAAGACTTCTATCATTACGGGTATTAAGACCAAGTAATGATATGCATTGATAAGATTAACAAAACAACTTTCGAGATTCTAGAATTACAGCATACAAATTAGTCTGCTATTATTCTCTAATCTCACCCCATCCCCAAAAGTCTAGCGTAACTACCGATCATTTATCCGCGCATCACTTGGAAAGTGACCTACACTACTCTGACCTACTGGTGCTAATCTAACTGACTGACATGATCAGACTGTTCGAGAAACTTACGAACAATATGACATGTTCCTAACAAAACAGCTTTTTGAATTTTGACAATTATTGAATCATTCAAATGCAAAGACTTTAAATTCTCAACTAAGCTATTTGGGACTACACTTACATTAGAGATAACTAGGGGTAGAATTGAAATTGTTTTAAGATTCAACATGAATTTCATTTCTATCGATAATTGTAGATATTTTGAAATCTTGGTGTGGTATGTTTGAATAATGTTGTTTGTGTTAGGAATAGCAATGTCAATGAGAATGACTTCGTTCGTGTGTTTTTTGATAAGTATGATGTCTGGTCTGTTAGCTGTAATGTTTAAGTCTGTAAGTATTGTGCGATCCCAGTATAATTTGTATTTGTTATTTTCAAGGAACGGAGATGGAATGTAAGTGTAATAGGGTGTCGTATCTTCGATTAAGTTCATAAGTGTTGTTAATTCTTTGTGAATGATTTTGGCTACGTTGTCGTGTCTAGCTTTGTAGTCAGTTTGTGCCAGGATGCTACAGGAGGAGATTATGTGCGGGATCGTTTCAGGTTTTGCTTTGCAGAGGCGACAGCAGTCGTTTCTTATATTCGGATCTTTGATGATGTATTTTCTGTAATTCTTGGTATTGATTACTTGGTCTTGAATAGCAAACACAAATCCTTCTGTTTCGGCATACCAACTTGATTTTTTTAACCAAATCAATGACATCTTCTTGACATGAGTTTCTTCCAAGCCTTTGTAGAATTTTCCATGTAGTTTTATTATTTTGTCTATTGTGTGGGGGGTGTAGATTTCTTCGGTGTTCGACAGATTTAAAGGTGTGTGGTTCAAATCTGCTCTTGTGATGGTGCGAAACATTTCATTTCTTTCTGCTCGTTTCAAGAAATACTTCTTCAGGTCTGAGATTTGTCTCTGATATAAGTTTTCTAGGTTCTGGAAACCCCTTCCTCCATTCTGTCTTGGTAATGAGAATCTTTCAATGGACGATTTTGGATGATGCCTTCTATACTGTGTGAAGATTTTCCTTGTTGCGATGTTTAAATTTTCAAGATCAGTTTTGGACCATTTAATGACTCCAAAAGAATATGTTAGCAGTGGAACGCAGAATGTATTTACTGCTTTCATTAAATTTTTTCCATTTAACTGTGTCTTCAATATTAATTTTAATCTCGCTATGTATTGATCTTTCAACTGTGTTTTCGTTTTGGTATGATTGATGTGGGAGGATTGACAGAAACCCAGATATTTGTATGTATCATTTCGTTTTTGGGCTTCGATTATTTCGTTATTCTGGGCTGTATGTGGTATTTGGTGTTGGACGCCTTTTCTGATTGCTTGGGTCTTACATTTCTCAATACCAAAACACATACCAATATCACCGGAAAACTGTTCAGTCAGATTTAATAGGTTTGTTAACTGATTTTGTGTACTTGCATATATTTTTATGTCATCCATATACAGCAAATGACTTATTCTGTTTTCTCTTTGTTTGTTAATTCTTATATTGAACCCATAATTGCAGCTGTTCAGGATATCGGAGAGGGGATTTATTGCTAAGCAGAACCATAACGGGCTAAGAGAATCGCCTTGAAAAATTCCTCTTCGGATCATAATTGGATCTGACTGAATTGTTTGTTCATTTAAGGTTATTTGGAGGGTGGTCTTCCAAAATTCCATGGAACATTTGAGAAAAGATTTTAGTATCAATTTTGTATAATTCCAGAATTTTGCATAGCCAGGAATGAGGGACAGAATCGTAAGCTTTCTTATAATCAATAAAAGCAGTATATATGTTTCGGTTTTCTTTTCTAGCTTGTTCACAGATGATGGAATCTATGATTAATTGCTCTTTGCAACCAAAGGATCCTTTAATACATCCTTTCTGTTCTTCATTAATGATGTCAGAGTTAAAACAGTGTTGATAGATTTTTTGTGTAATGCATGAGGTTAATATTTTATAGATTGTCGGTAAACATGTGATAGGTCTGTATTTTGATGGATTTTTTGTGTCGTTATCTTTAGGTTTTAGGTATGTTACACCATCACATAAGATTGTTGGAAAGGAGGATGGGTCAAGAAGGAACTGATTTAAGTGATGTAGTAAATGAATATGTACACAATTTAATTTTTTTTATCCAAAAATTATGGATTTTGTCTGGTCCTGGTGATTTCCAGTTGTGTGTTTTATTGATGGTATTTATTAATTCAGCAAGTGTTATCTGATGATCATTCATTGGTGTAACTGTGGATAGTTTATGGAATATATGAGGAATCCATTTGGCAGATTGGTTAAATTCAAATTCTTGAGACCAAAGTTTTGACCAAAATGTTGTTACATCCTGGAAACTTGGAAGTTCACCGGATAATTGAGTTTTGCTTGAATTAGTTAAATGTTGATAGAATAGCTTTTCGTTGTTTAAAAATTTAGTGTTATGAATTTTTCTGAGATGTGATTGTTCGTATCTTTTAAGTCTTTTGCTATATAAGGAAAGCTTTTGTAATAGGGTATCTTTAATTTGGGATAGTGTTGTGTTGTATTCATCGTCATCAGTTTGATGAAAATTATAATTTTAGTACTTGCTGAGACAAGACTGATTTTGGCAAATGCTCTACCCTCTGAGAAAATAGAGGGGCAAGTACTTGCAAAGATAAAACTTATTTTGGCAAATGACATATCCTCTGAGAAAATAAGGGCGGGTGGGCGGGGCTAGTAGTTGCTCTGATAAGACTGATTTTTGCAGACGCCATACCCTCTGAGAAAATAGGGGCGGGTGGGCGGGGCTAGTCTTTTTTTTTAGTGTATAGAATTTTCTTTTTTATTTTGTCCGTTCTTTCTTAATATGCGAAGTCTTTTTCCAACAAGAAACTGAAAACATGTTCAACTATCCTGTTGAAAGAAAATCTATAGACTAAAAAAAAGATTAAGCCCCACCCACCCGCCCCGATCTCAATTGTGATGAATTTTTACATTCGCTTTCTCAATAGAAAAAGGTCTAACAGTGAATTAAAAATTCATCACAATTGAGATCGGGGCGGGCGGATGGGGCTTAAGCTTTGTTTTTCTTCTAATATAGAGAGTTTTCTTTCAACAGCAGGATATATATATTTTCAGTTTCTTGTTGGGAAAAAAAGCCTTCCTACATTAAGAAAAAAGGGATCAAATATAAGCCCCGCCCACCCACCCCTTCTCAATTGTACGTTATTCATCGTGAGCTGAAGGCCGGAGTTTACTTGCAAAATCCTCCATGCCGCAAAGACCAAGAGATATTATAATAAAAATATGAAGTCAATCTATTATTCAATAATTTTGAACCGTATTACTAATGTTGTTAAATCAGATTTAGGAAATTAACTAGTTTCTATGGAAATATGCAATTTAACACCTTTTAAATTTAAGAAGTTTTACAAGTCTAATGGAGGCAAGATCATCTTATCTTAGCAAGTGCTAGCCCCGCCCACCCGCCCCTATTTTCTCAGAGGGTATGCCGTCTGCAAAAATCAGTCTTATCAGAGCAACTACTAGCCCCGCCCACCCGCCCTTATTTTCTCAGAGGATATGTCATTTGCCAAAATAAGTTTTACCTTTGCAAGTATGTACTAGCCGCTTTATTTTCTCAGAGGGTATGGTATCTATCAAAATCAGTCTTATCTTACCAAGCACTAGCCCCGCCCACCCGCCCTTATTTTCTCAGAGGATATGTCATTTGCCAAAATAAGTTTTACCTTTGCAAGTACTTGCCCCTTTATTTTCTCAGAGGGTATAGTATTTGCCAAAATCAGTCTTGTCTCAGCGAGTACTAACCCCGCCCACCCGCCCCTATTCTCTCAGAGGGTATGGCTTGTACTTTCTCGGTTTTCTCGAAAAACTGAAGAAATGAAAAACTGAAAAATCTAAAATATGAATAATTAAAAATTGAAAACTCGTGAAATTTGAAATCGAAAAACTGCAAGATCTAAGAACTGAAACGTCCGAAAGTTGGAAAATCATAAACTGGAAAATTTAAAAATGAAAACTCGAAGAGATATCGTATAATTAAAGATTACAAATTGAAAAACTGACGAAACGAAAAATTGAAAAAAGTGAAATTGAAAAAACAAAAAATTCTAAAATTAATAAATTGTAAAAATAAAGATAATAAAAAATTGAAACGAAAAATTGCAAAATGTTGAAAAATTGAAAAATTAAATTTAAACTTCAACTTTGGCTGCACTTCAGAGGCGAATGGAAGTTCTGTTTAAATAACATTATCCAATTTTTTAAGCTTAATTTTATATTTCTCTGCTACCTGGTCCCCAATTAATTTTACGAGTACAGTTTCTAATAATATTAGTACGTAAATGCACACAAAACAATAAATAAACATTGGCTTAAAGTTATTTAGCTAGAACGCCTCTGAAGGACAATCCATTAAACAGGTGCAGTTTTTAGACAAATTACACAATTTAATTCTGCAAATTTTATTTTGTTTTCGAGTAATCCCTAAATGTTGAAGTAAAAATAGGGGTGTTATAGTTTCAAGTAGGATTTTCCTAAGAAATTTTTTGGTGACGTCATCAACTTTTTAAAGGGGACAAATTATCAGTTTGTATACGTATACAACATTAGCAGGTCTACAAAAAAAAATCGCAGTCATACGCTTTTTGTCTTTTGGGCATAAATGACTTCCTTGTATCCTAAAACTTCTGTAAAAATGATTTTTGCCGTTTGTGTTTTTTTATTAAAGGAGTATTTTGGTTGTTGACCAATGTATTGTTGGTCAGTATCGAATGCATACATGTCATGATATGTGGTGTTTTAACTCCTCTTAGGTACTGTGTTATTTGACCTAGTTGTTTTCTAATGTTATTAATTTTATAATTTAACCGTGTTTCCCAATGAGGGGTGGAGGGTATATGATTGGTGTTTGTATTTATTATGTTATCTTTACTATTATTATTATTATTATTAAGAAACCAAGCACGTTTTTTCTCTTTTGTTAAATAAGAAATGTAATTTATCCTAATATTACATCATAACAAGTGCACTTGATCTTTAAGTTTAAATAAATAAACACTTTCGGCTAATAATAATGATAATCGTAACAACAGCACATATTTGATGTACAACTGATCGCAACAATGTCAAAGTACTTCGTTGTTTTAATTTTTCAATTGTATTTGACTCAACAAGGTAAGGGTTCTTAATCAATTCATGAGTTTATTTTCTGTTTTCTTTTTTTTTTTTTTATAGCGTTCTGCCTGGAGTGTTATACCACTGATCCTTCCATTTTAGTTCAAGGTAACTGTACTTAAATTCGTAATTGTTATAATTATTATAAAATATTTTATTTAGGTACGAATGTTACGGACAACATACACGCGTTAAAAGACTGTAACGACTACTTTCGAGATATGGCCAAAAAATCAGGACGCACTACTATTCCTATAAAAATAGTACCACCAGGACTTGCTCTCACTTGTTTTACGCTAGTGACTAACACTAGTAAATATCTGATTCCAAAAAATATGGCACACTTTGACATTTTTTAGGAGAGAACGTGATAGTTAAAGGATGCTCTCCTACTACTGTACCAACGTGCAATCATGTAGAAACTACAGTCAAAGACAAAATGTCTGATAGAAACTCTCGTACATTTAAATGCAGCATATGTAACACCAATGGATGTAACAAAGAAAACACGGTAACAGAATAGAATAGAGGTTTATTTTGATTCCATGTTTGCCGTGGAATTCCCTAAATACTCAAATTATTATTAATTAAATCGAAGAATAAAGTTTAAACAAAGCTTATCAAATTTTTATCTGACCTCTGATGTAAATTTAACTTTTTGAATAACAAATAAATCATTATGATTATAATGTATAACTTATCTGCTTTAAAATAACACATACTAACTCGTAACCATTACCTATTTATGCTTGAACCACTTTCGTATAACATTATTAAACTAACCTAGTCGACAACTAAGCTACTTACTCTTCATCCATCATTATTAAAAGTCTTGAAAGTACTATGTTATTCCCCACGGAGATAACCTTTTAACACCAAATGCATACAATATGCTATATAAGGACTTGCAAAAATAAAATCATACAGTAATAAAGCCAACAATGTTGAAACACATCATTTTCTTAATCGTCCAACTGTATTTCATCCAAAATGGTAAAGCATTTCTAGGTACATGAAATTAATTAAATAACGTTTGTTGATTTTTTTCAGCGTTTGGAATTGAGTGTTATACAACAGACCCTGCCATTTTTCTACGTATGTATTTAATTTTTTATCTTTTCTTATTTATTCTTTTTTTATGAAAAACCCTGCTATCATTACATGGTGTCGGATGAATTTTTATTTTACAATCTACTGTTTATATATTTTTGTAGAAATATCGTGCAGATAGTTAAACGCTAACCAGAATTTGTCTAATTCTCGCACTAACAATGGAATGACCTCATTTTCAAAATTTACGATAGTAAATATTTTTTAAAATAGAATAAGATACTCCTACACTTGTGGTTTATGAATCCGTGATGAGCTTTTGTCCAGATTTTTGGAAAAAAAATTGTTAAATCGAAATTCATCCGTTTATTCCCTCCCAAAAAAATGTTCACTACACTTCATCAACTTTCACGTACATTCTCAGATCGGCCAGTTAATGTTGAAAGCTACACCCATAAACTAACAAACTGTGACGACTTTTTCGCCCAAATGGCACGAGTAACTCAGCAAGCACAAGCAAGACTTACACGGAGCGCTGGCTATGATTGTATAACAGTAATCGTAAATACAGGTAAATAACCAAACGATTTAATGTTATGTATATGAATGTAACTTTTTCGACTTGCAGAAAAAAAATTGGTGGTAAAGGGATGTGTCCCCAGTGGTATCGCTAGGTGCAAAAGCGCAAACGCGATTCTTAACGAAGGTGACTGCATGGTTTGTAGTAGTGACGGATGTAACAAAGGAAATCCACTGAAGGCATAAAAGACGTTTACTTTATGCATAGCTTCGACTGTTTCGTAGGTTATAATCACATAATGTATAAAATAAAAAAACAAATTATATTGACGCCGTAATAAATGTACAGTTAATGCATACAAATTGGGTTTTTTGTTTTAAAAATTCTGTACGCAGGTTTGTAACTTTTTGTTAAATACGAGAGTCAAAATTTTGAAGAATCTATCCACTATCATGTTTTTCCAAAGGTGAATTCGATTTTGGCCAAACAAATTCACCTTTGAAAACATGACTCTCTACTTTTACGTTTTCCCGACCTTTCATGGCCCCAAGAGTACGAAGAAATGGGTCTCCCATTTCTGTTATTTTGTTAAATTAAATTTAATTCTGCGTTTAAATGTCTTCTTTTATTTGCTAATTTGTACATCAGGTTTTTTAATAAAATAACGATCACTAGTTAAATTAATAATTTTTAAAGTGGATTTGCGAAATTTTTCAGGGTGGCTGGTTTTTTTGCCGATCAGCAAATCTAAAAAATATTAATGCAGTGATAAATCACATGTATAGACTTATCATATTTTGTACATTTAACATAGGATTTATTCAGCAACATTTTTGGGGGAATAAACAAAACAGATATATTTTAATTAACAATTTACCAAGCTTACAACAACTTTCAAACGTCTGCAAGATTTCAAAGTAATCCGTTTTTGATTTACGTAATAAAATAAATTGATTGATTCATTTTTTTGAGTCACCTATATACGTAAATTTAAAAAATATGAATGCAATGATAAATTACAAGTGTAGATCGATCATATTTTGCACATTTATTCGGCAAAATTTTGCGATGAGGTAATCAATTTTTTGGGGTTGATAAGCAGATAATTTTTATTAAAAAGTTACCATGCTTACAGTAAGTACAAGGTTTCAAAGTATTCAGTTTTGCAATTCTTGATTTAATCAATAAAATAAATTGACTCAGTCATTAATTTTTTTTGAGACACCTGTATAAGCAAATCTAAAAAATTGGTCTAAAGAGTTTAGACAGTACGTCCCTCGCTGTCGGAAACGTGACGACTTCATGCCTATTATGGTTTTTTTTATCATTACATTTTTGTAGTGGGGCATTTTAAAATAAATCGAGTATTAAATTTTTCAATTTTGTCATTATTTGGTATTGACATCTTTGTAATTTTTTTTGTGATTGCTATGATTGCTTCTTAAAAAAAAATTGGACGAAGTCGCCTCTGGGGTGTATAATATATAGCCTATGCAAAAATTGTCAAGCATGAGCAGATAACAGGCACACCCTGTATAGTACTTGTAATTTAAGACAAATACGTCTGCAAGATTTCAAAGTATCCAGTTTTGTAATTCTTGATTTAATCAATAAAATTAACTGATTCAGTCATTTTTTTTTGTTCAGACACCCCGTATAAGCAAATCTAAAAAATATTAATGCAGTGATAAATCACCATTCTTTACACATTTAAGATAGCATTTTTTGAGCAAAATTTTGCTGCGGCGTCATCAAATTTTTGGGGGGGGGGATGAGCAAATACATTTCGATCAAAATTTTTCCATGCTTATAAATTTAAAACATCTCTAAGATTTCAAAGCATTCGGTTTAGTAGTTCCTGATTAAATCAATAAAATAATTTCACGCATTCATTAATTTTTTTGAGTCCCTCTATATATGCAAATCCAAAAAATATGAATGGAATGAGAAATCACAACTACAGACTCATCATATTTTGCACATTCAAGATAGGATTTTTTCAGTAAAATTTTGAGGTGACGTCACTAATTGTTTAGGAGGGGACGAGCAAATACATTTTGACTAAAAATTTACCATGCCTATGATAACTTTAAAATATCTCCAAGATTTCAAAGCATTCAGTTTTGTAGTTCTTGATTAAATCAATAAAATAAATTCACACATTCATTAATTTTTTTGAGTCACCCTGTATCTGCAAATCCAAAAAATATGATTGGAATGATAAATTACAAGTACAAACTCATCATATTTTGTACATTTTAGATAGGATTTATTCGGCAAACTTTTGAGCTGACGTTATCAATTTTTTGGAGGGGATAAGTAAATATATTTTGATTAAAAATTTGTCATGTTTATCATAACTGTAAACAGTCTACAACATTTCAAAGTATTCGGTTCTGCAGATTCAAAATTAAATTGTAAAATGTTGTTTCATAATTTTGATTTTTTTTTCCAAAAATCTGGACGTTTCAGGTAAAAACTCAATTCGGAGTCATAAACTACATGTGTAGGACTATATTATTTTATACAATTTAAAACCCATTTACTATGTACAATTTTGAAGTGACGTCATCACATTAGTGGTGGGGATGATTAGACAAATTTTGGTTAGCGTTTTACCATCTACATGATATTCCTAATATAAGTACAAAATTTCACAACAATCGGTCCAGTACTTTCTGAGATTATCGGCAGACAGACCGACAGACAGACGGAAATGGGAGACCTATTTCTTCGTCTTCTAGGGGTCATGAAAGATCGAGAAAACGCAAAAGTAGAGAGTCGGCCGACGGACTCGATTACAATACTTCCTTTGCTTACGCTCGGGAAGTAAAAATATTAATACAGTGGTAAAAGCCATCTCTATGGGTGCGTACCGGTTGTTAATACCAAAGATGTTCGTTTTGGAATAAAATGAAAATTCAAAAGTACAAACAGACCGCTTTTAACTTTTTAATATATCTACCTTAAAAACAGTACATTTTTTTAAATATTTGCTTTTTTAAATATCCCGTAAAAAACAGGGTGAAATTTTTAAATTTTAAACGTTTTCAAATGTTAATTAGTTTAGACAGATTCCATAAAATTTGACTTTTAAAAAAAGGGTACCTTTAAAAACAGGGCATTGATTAAATGCATCCTATTGTTTGGAACGAACAGGGCAAAGGTCATACCAACATTTGGCCGTCAATCGCGCGCATAGGCAACCCCCATAACAGCAACAAAACAGTTCTTAAATCTACCACTCGATACAGGGCGACGAAAAAAATTTGTAAGAATCTCCTAGTAAGCATTAAGATAATTTACAACGTTGCCAGATAAGCCTAACACAACTTTGCCATTGTTTCTAGTCAATTAGATTTTATTTCGTTAAAAGTTTCTGATAAATAAATCGGATTATTATAATGAATAAATAATACAAACAAATTATTAGTTGTTGTTTTAAACACTTATTAGTGTTATTGAAAACATAAAAATAAATGTAAATAACACATTGGTAGCTCGCTTTTGTTACTAATAAATACAAAGGAAAATAATTTTAAATGCGTTTTCTCAAAATTTACATTTTTTTAGAAAATTTAATAGACTAGAGAAAAAACATATGTCTTAAAAAACTGGCACAATATGCCGCATAAACTCGAAAATAAGTCATTTTCTTTCACATTTTATGATGTAAGTACACTCGTTACTGAAAATTTAATGATCTTTTTTTGAATAAATTTGTGTTAAAAAAAGATTATTTGTGGTTTACTTACATAATTTACTTATTTACAATGAATGTTTTTAATACATAGCACAAGAAAAAGAAGTCGTTTTTACGTGTTTTAAAATCCACTGATGATCTCCGGACTTTCGGCCTTTTGGTGTTTCACTTCGACACAAGAACTATCTCAAAGAAAACAACAGTGGAAAAAATGGAACAGATTTCCGTCAACAAAGTAAAATTTTTGATTGAATAGACAGACTGTTCTAGGAAACTTTACTAAATCTCTTCCTCATTGATACCTCCTACCTACGTCAGTTCTTAGCTGCCCCTACTTAAGAGTGAAGCGAAAAATATTTCAGTAATAAAAATAAAATGCAAAGAATGGGAATATAGTGAATGCGGTAGTACATACGTATGCGTAATATGTCGTTAGATGTTAGGTATTTTGCAAAATAAAATTTACTTCATTGAAAACAGAAATATTAAAAAAACGTATCTGTACAAATTTGGGATCGATATGGCTAGTTTAGAATATAGAAATATGCTTTTGCTCGTATTTACAATTATTACGAAACCGATTATCAAATATTCCATTTTCATATGGCGGCAGAAGAATTAAAAACCAAAAATTTTCATTGAAGAAACAAACTCTTCCAAGAAAATTTAGTAAATTTCTTAGTTTGCGCACTCTTTAAAACGGTCAGTATAGTCGCATTATTCCGTTGACCATTCTGGCCAAGCGAAAAATCTTGTAGTAATAAAAATAAAAAGCAAAAAGCTGTTTAAGAGAAAGCGACAATTTGAGAGACGCCTGTAAGAGAAGAGTTAATGGAATTGTTTTAGCATGAAAAACTCTGTTTACAACAACAGCCTCCTTTACTGCTTGTTTTTAAGAAAATATCGTACTTGGTTTGTTTCTGTTATTTTGTTAAATTAAATTTAATTCTGCGTTTATTTGTCTTCTTTTTTTTGCTAATTTGTATATCATGTGTCAATAGTGAATGGTTCTTTAATAAAATAACGATCACTAGTTAAATTAATAATTTTTAAAGTGGTTTTGCGAAATTTTTCAGGGTGGCCGGTTTTTTTGGCGGTCAGTGTATTTTGCCTTTAGTCTAATCTGCCTGTTTTTAGTCTAATAAGTTTTTTACAAAAATATAGTAAATTTTGAGAAAACGTATTTAAAATCATTTTCCTTTGTATTTATTAGTAACAAAAGCGAGCTCACGAAAGTGTAAAAAAATGTGTTATTTATATTTAGTTTTACGTTTTCAATAGCACTAACAAACATTTAAAACAACAAGTAATTTGTTTGTATTATTTATTCATTATAATAATCCCATTTATTTATTTATCAGAAACTTCTGAACGACATAAAATCTAATTGACTAGAAATAACGGCAAAGTCTGGCAACGTTATAAATCATCTTAATGCTTACTATGAGATTCTTACAATTTTTTTTTGTCGCCCTCTATCGAGTGGCAGATTTAAGAACCGTTTTGTTGATGTTATGGGGGTTGCCTATGCGCGGGAAACCATCAACTAAGCCCCAAAACTGTGTCTAATTAAAAATAAAAATATTCTAGTAGTCTCAAAACAAAAAACAACAAATTCAAAAAATCCAGCATACTTACACTTGTATCTCGCAAGGCTTCAATATCCTCCCCTTGTAAATCACAACCTTGAAATATCTTCCTTTATGATAAACTACAATATGATTCGAATCGTGCAGGTGTTGTATTTTGTCCGTTTCCAACCCCGGAATCCTCGTCGTGTTGAAAATTCTCTCGTACTGCCACGAACACAGCGGCACCAAGCCCTGGATCATGATGGGTTCCAGTTCCTGCCTTTCCACCAGCCTCCGCAAAATTAGGCACGAACTGATGGCTGAGGCCGCTCTGGCCGCCTGATTTGTGGTGGGTTTCATGAAGATGGCGTCAATTCCGTAGAAATTCGAGTTGATCATGAGTGGTGAACGCCCTCTGAGGTAGACGTACTCCTCCCACCAATCGGAGACGTAGTTGCTGGACCACCACGACTTCAACCAGAGGTATCTTTGGAGCTTGCGGCCGATGCCGTTTTCGAACTCTGAGGCGAGTCGCTGCATTCGTTCGTAGTTCTGGTCGTCGAGGAGTGGTCGAACACTCTCCAAATACTGGAAAGAGGAGAATTTCGGGGTTAGAAGGGAACAATCGAGTGTTTGGGAAGAAATTGGTGCTCGACGAATAAAGAAATGATTAATTTTTTAAAGTAAAGTCGGAAAATTTCTAGTATGCAAATATATGCAACTGCGAAATATCGTTCGAATTTTTGTCAAGGTAACACAAAAGCTATTGTCACATCCACTTTTATTTAAAAAAATTCATTGATTTACAATGCGATTTCCAATTTTAATTACAATCACCATACTCACCCTGCTCATTGTATCGTGCAACGAAGGTAGAGGTAGTCTAGGAAGCGAGCCTTGGAAACTATAAAGTTTTGGCCTGTTCCAGCCGCTAAAAATTCTAACACATATCAACCACATTTTCGTAGGTAAAGATGTTTTACTACCTTTACCTCTCTTTTCATACATCCAACCCTTGTACATCAGTAAAAATTTTAATGTGTACCTAAGGGTGAATATTATTGTTAGCCAATAAATTAAGGCGGTTAAGAAACACGCTGTGAACTGCCATCGCACAGACGTCCTAGAAGAAAAAAATCTCATAATCAAGAGTCTAAATCCACAAACAAAAAATAAAAAGAAGCTCAGTAAATGCAGCGACTAAATTAGAACAAGGTTAAGCTTTACGCATTCATAAGCGCATACTTCTTGCGTTGGATCAAGGTGCGTTCATAGTTCAATCTGAGTTTTGTATGATAAATGTTTTTCTTTGTTTTGTTTTACACAAAAATGATAATCGCGTCACCTTGAACTGAAACTTTGTTTTTACAACCAGTTTTAATTAGTTTAGTTTGTATTTCCAAAACAATTCATTATCTAGAAACCCGCTATTTTGAATATGTGTAATCTTTTCCTCAAATCTGTTAACAATAAATTTAAATCGCAACATAAAAACAAAGTTACAATTAGTACTGAATATTCGAATTGTACTTATCGCAGTGGCACAGAGGTCATGTGAACATTTTATTATTCTTGTTCTAATTGAAACGGCGCGAAAAAGCCGCTTCATTCTGAACTTCTTTCAATATTTCAACCAATTTAATAAAACAATTCTTACTCATTTAATAAATATGTAATTTTTGCTGCTAAGTCGAACGGAACTGCATTCCCCAGAAAATGCACCGCCGTCACAATTGAAAATATCAACCATAGACTCCACAGATGCCCGGGATACACACCATTGTGAACACTATTCTGAAAAAAAAAAAAGATGAAGATTAGAAATAGGTATAATAATACAGACGATAAAACACAAGTTGAAAAAATAATGTTACGGTCTACTATTTTGTGTTAAGTAGCGCATTAAATTAAACCAGGTCTTTATACGTAAAGATAATCCTAAAGTGTTACCAACAACAATAGCAACTCAAAATATTTTAAGTTGTGAAATACTCGATTTCATTCAGCTAAGATAATTAATTATAGATAACTAAAATAAAAAGATTGAAATGTACCTGAAAAACTCCAAAAGGTTGAGACCCTCTGGCAAAAATATTCAACATGAATATAACAAGTTTATCCAGTAGATATGTAAAAAACATTTTGTAATTACATTGTTGTTGCAGAAAAAACACCTGAAGAATTTATAGAAACAGCTCAAACAACTTCCGATATAATAACACCGGTTTCAAAATGAGCATAGTAAATCTATTTCTCATATTACCTAATGTAGTTTGGCAACTTTTAAATATTATTATTTTAATTATTATGTCACTCACCGAATAGACTCGATTTATTCATAGTTTTATATAGATGTTTCCAATTAAAGTGATAATTCGAGTTAAACACCCGTTAATTTGATGCATGGAATATTTATTGTTCACCTTGGGCTAACCAATATATAAAAGTGCATCATCATTGGTTTGTTTGTTTGTTGAAACAAAGCTTAAACTATTTTTTACAAAATATGTCATATTTACGATATACGAAATTAAGCTTCCTCCTTCAAGCTAAACACAATGGTGTTGTCAAGATATAAGGCCGCGGAATTACATCTAGGGTAGATGTACATATACCCAATTCAGATTTTGTTTTTGACTTGTAACTTTATTTATTAAATACTCTAATAATACCATAAAAACATTACACCATATAATAAAATTGTTTATTTGTTTATGCATGTGCTAAATAACGCATAGAATTTGTAAACAAATTCATTGACGAGAAACCTGTTTTATCAGTGGCGTAGCTACCGGGAATTAAGAAAAAATAGACGCAAATGAATTCATAAATTACATTTGTCGTTCGGAAAAAAAGTATACAAAACCGACCACAACATAAATGAAATTGTTTTAAACATCCTGCACGAAAGATCATTTTGTTGTGCGTTATTTATTCATGGTGCTTATGACTCCTTTGAATAAAACAACACACCACAAATATAACATCCGGAATTCTTAATATACAATAATTCAGTATTTACAAGATGGTAAAAAAAAGGTTCTCTGAAGATGTTGCTTCTTCAAAAATTTCCGGTTATTGACATTAAATATAATATATAAACGTAGTCGTGCAAAAAACGTTGTACGTAGTTCGTTTGCAAAACATTCACGTATCATTAAAAAACTTGTTACAAGTCAAAGTACTTTTCACATTAGAATACACATGCCTTGCGTATATACCAATTACTGAATAGTTGCAAACATAGTGCGTTTCTGATCATCTGGACAAAGTACTCAATAACAACCCATTATAGAACATATATGACAAAGATAATACGTCCATTGACAACTTCGTGCATTTCATTATATAATGTACTCGATACACGTGTACTGTCGATAGACTGCCATGTTTTGAAAATTTAACATACTAAAAGACACGAAAATAATGCGCTAACAACGTTATCATTTTGTGGTGTACCTACTTAAGTCTCTATTGTCTAGTCAAAACATAAACTTTTATCATTATTGTCCTCGTAATAACTGCGACATTTTTTTTACAACTGCGATATGTCACAAATGAATAAAAATTTTTTTCACTATTGTTTGAATAATTAATATTGAAAACAACATGAATTTTTTAAAATAGAACGATATATCTTTTGTTATTTGTAGATAGTACCTCTAGTACCAATGAGAAATAAAATACTTAGGAATAGTTTTGCAATTATTGAATTATTCCAGAAGTAGTTTGCACATTGTATACTCCAGGTTATAGGAAAACCATTTTGAAGGTTACCTGAAATGTCATAAGTTATAATAATTAATCTGACTGGTACAAGTAGGAACTAATCGAGCCGGAAGCAGTGTTTTATAGATCAGGAACTGTGCATTTATTGCTATAAAACTGCATTGTGATGGTTATAGTAACGAGATAAGCGACAGAATCAATAATGTCCTGTGGCAATAATTTGCAAACATAGAGATATTATCTTGATAAATAATACTACGTACGTCCTAATGAACAAATATGAGCTATGTATGTTTAGCATGGAGGATCTTCAAGCGTACTTTGGAATAGGCGCCCGGCCTTAATTTAAAAGGACATCAATTTAGTAATTGTACCATATACAGTAATAAATTATAATAGTTTGAATAAAATCCGTTAGAGCGATAATTGCGAAATCATTTTGTTGCGGTTTTCGGAAACATGTTGCTTGGTAACAGCCCTACTTGGGGCTTAATTTTTGTTGTTTCTTTAATATATAGAATTTTCTTTCAACGACAGGATAGATACAAATATTTTCAGTTTCTTATTAAGAAAAAAGGGATAAAATATAAGCCCCGCCCACCCACCCCTTCTCAATTATGACGAATAAGTTGTTCATCGTGAGCTGAAGCGCGGAGTTTAGTTGCAAAACTCTCATTTCTCTACCAGAAATTACCATATGAAATATGTTTTTAAGATGCTAGAATTTTTTAGAGAAATATTGATGTTACAATTAAACTCCGCTTTTCGGTCTGATTAGAAATGAAAAACTCATCACAATTGAGATCAGGCGGGTGGGTGGGGCTTAATTTTTGTTTGTCCTTTTTTTTAATATACAGGGTGTTATTGAAAGGTACGTACAGCAAAATTGACAGTTCTTCGCGAAGTCCAAGAAATCTGAAAAACTTATTTTGTGTTATCAAAATTATAAGGGGAAAATTAACCCTTATCCAACCTTTTTAGACGCTACTGAAATATAAATAGGTAAACTTAATTTATTTTGGTAAATCCTAGCAACTGTAACAATAAAATTTTTGTCAAAACTAAATGTTGCTATAGAAAGGAGAGATGATCTTTTTATCAGAGGCGTACAACGAATTTGGACATCAATTTTAATAATTTTTATCTCTAAAACGAGAACACTTTTACCTGAACTTTTTTAACTTTTAGCACCCATACTTCGAGACCAATTGCCGATTTTATTTTGTACGTACCTTTCAAAAACACGCTGTATAGAGTTTTCTTTCAACAACAGGATAGTTAAATAACATATGGTTAGTTTCTTGTTGGGAAAAGACGACTTCGTATATTAAGAAAAAATGGACCAAATACAACCCCCACCCACCCACCCACCCCTTCTCAATTGTGATGAATGTTTTATTCATTGTGAGCTAAAGGGGCCGGAGTTTAGTTGCAAAATTCTCATTTCTCTACAAGAAATTACCATATGAAATATGTCTTAAAAGGGTAGAATTTTCTAGAGAAATAATATGTTACAATTAGACTTCGCCCCTCGTCTGATTAGGAATGAAAAATTCATCACAATTGAGATCGGGCGGGTGGGCGGGGCTTAATTTTTGTTTGTCCTTTTTTTTAATATATAGAGTTTTCTTTCAACAACAGGATAGTTAAACAACATATGGTCAGTTTCTTGTTGAGAAATGAAGACTTCGTATATTAAGAAAAAATGGAACAAATACAAGCCCCGCCCACCCACCCCTTCTCAATTGTGATGAATGTTTTATTCATCGTGAGCTGAAGAGGGCGGAGTTTAGTTGCAAAATCCTCATTTCTCTACAAGAAATTACCATACGAATATGTCTTAAAAGGGTAGAATTTTCTAGAGAAATAATATGTTACAATTAAACTCCGCCCCTCGTCTGATTAGGAATGAAAAACTCATCACAATTGAAATGGGGGCGAATGGGTAGGGCTTAATCTTTGTTTTTTTTTTTTCTTTATATACATTGGTTTCTTTTAACAATTTTTTGCCGCGAAGAATAAGAGATATTATAATAGAAAATATAAAGTCAATTATTCAATAATTTTGGACTGTACTCCTAATGTATGTCACATAAAATACTTTCCCGTTTTTCTAGAAAAACTGTAAAATATAAAAATTGAAACCTCTAAAAGTTGGAGAATCGGAAAACTGGAAAATTTAAAAGAAAACGCGAAGAAATATCGCAAAATTAAAGAAAAAAAAAACGAAAAACTGAAAAATTTGAAAATTGAAAAAGTGACGAAACGAAAAATTGAAAAAAAGTGAAATCGAAGAAAACAAAAAAATTATTAAATCGGAACACTGAAAAATTGTAAAAATAAATAAAATAAAAAACTGGAAAGTTGAAAACTTGAAAAATTAAATTTGAAGTTCAAAACTCAAAAAAATTAAGGAATAAAAAAATGAGAAACTGAAGAAAAAATTCAAGTCAAATAAGCTGCGGGAACGTTATTTACGCCACTGGTTTTTACTTTATAGGAAAAATTAAAAATTGAAAACTAGAGAAAGTCAAATCGAAAAATTGCAAAATCTAGAAATTGAATTGAAAAGTTGAAAAATTCAAAAATATTTAAACTTGAAAACTCAACAAAAAAATGAAAAATTGAAGAAAAAATTCAAGTCAAATAAGCTGCGGGAACGTTATTTACGCCACTGGTTTTTACTTTAAAGAGGTTATCAGAAAACAAAAATCGCAAAAAAAAATAATAAAAAAAATAAAAAACCTGTTCTATAAGGTCCATTAGCATTATAGCAGTTCAAGTTTTTAAAACAATAATTTTTGTTGTTTCTTTAATATATGGAATTTTCTTTCAACAACAGGATAGATACACATGTTTTCAGTTTCTTTTTGGGAAAAGAAGACTTCGCATATAAAGAAAAAAATGGATAAAATATAAGCCCCGCCCACCCACCCCTTCTTAATTGTGACGAATAAGTTGTTCATCGTAAGCTGAAGGGCGGGGTTTAGCTGCAAAACTCTCATTTCTCTCCAAGAAATTACCATGTGAAATATATTTTTAAAAGGATAGAATTTTTTAGAGAAACATTGATGTTAGAATTAAACTCCGCCCTTCAGTCTGATTAGAAATGAAAAACTTATCACAATTGAGATCGGGCGGGTAGGTGGGGCTTACTTTTTTGTCCTTTTTTTTAATACATATATAGAGTTTTCTTTCAACAACAGGATAGTTAAACAACATATGGTCAGTTTCTTGTTGGGAAAAGAAGACTTCGTATATTAAGAAAAATGGACCAAACACAAGCCCCACCCACCCACCCCTTCTCAATTGTAATGAATGTTTTATTCATCGTGAGTTTAGTTGCAAAATTCTCATTTCTCAACAAAAAATTACCATATGAAATGTGTCTTAAAAGGGTAGAATTTTCTACAGAAATAATATGTTACAATTAAACTCCGCCCCTCGTCTTATTAGGAATGAATAACTCATCACAATTGAGATCGGGGCGGGTGGGTGGAGCTTAATCTTTGTTCTTTTTTTTCTTCTTTATATACATAGTCATAAGTCAATCTACTATTCAATCATTTTGGGCTGTACTCCTAATGTATGTCACCTAGAATACTTTCTCGTTTTTCTCGAAAAACTGTAAAATATAAAAGTTGAAACGTCCAAAAGTTGGAAAGTCGGAAAACTGGAAAATTTAAAAATGAAAACTCGAAGAGATGTCGCAAAATTAAAGAGAAAAAAAAAACAAAAAAATTATTAAATCGGAACGCTGAAAAATTGTAAAATCTAGAAATTGAATTGAAAAGTTGAAAAATTTATTGAAAAATTAAATTTAAACTTCAAAACTCAAAAAATGAAGGAACAAAAAAATGAAAAATTGAAAAAAAAATCAAGTCAAATAAGCTGCGGGAACGTTATTTACGCCACTGTTTTTACTTTATAGGAAAAATTAAAAATTGAAAACTCGAGAAACTCAAATCGAAAAATTGCAAAACCTAGAAATTGAAGTGAAAAGTTGAAAAATTGAAAAATGTTTAAACTGGAAAACTCGAGATATCACAAAATTAAAGAAAAAAAAAATTATTAAATTGGAACACTAAAAAATTGTAAAATCTAGAAATTGAATTGAAAAGTTGAAAAATTAAATTTAAACTTCGAAACTCAAAAAAATGAAGGAACAAAAAAAATGAAAAGCTGAAGAAAAAATTCAAGTCAAATAAGCTGCGGGAACATTATTTGCGCCACCGTTTTTACTTTATAGGAAAAATTAGAAACTGAAAACTCGAGAAACTCAAATCGAAAAATTGCAAAATCTAGAAATTGAATTGAAAAGTTGAAAAATTGAAAAATATTTAAAAACTGCAAAACTCGAAAAAATGAAGCAACAAAAAAATGAAAAATTGAAGAAAAAATTAAAGTCAAATAAACTACGGGAACGTTATTTACGCCACTGGTTTTTACTTTAAAGAAGTTATCAGAAAACAAAAATCGCAAAAAAAAGATAATTTTTCAGAGAAGTGGGATTTATTTGGCTGCACTTCAGTGGCCAAATAAATCGAAATAACCTTCGACCAATTTTTTTTTCTCAATTCTCAATAATATAATATTACACGGTATAGTTGAAAATAACATTGTGGCTTAATTAATAACTTTAGTCCTCTGTTTTGAGGAGACAACATATTCAAATTAAATAAATTTCTACGTGACATTCATTCGATGTATAAACTTAAACAATCGAAGTTAAGCATGTACACTGATAATAACACACTATTTTCCGTTGGTTATTTGCTTGTGAATATATTTCGAATTGTCCCTACGTCTATGGACGACATTTTCTTTGCGCCACCGCGGCGCGGATGGTTAAAAGTGTCACTTACACTACTGACCAATTTTTTTCTTATTATTAAAACTAAAACTAGAATTATTGAAATATCGAGGAGTGTATGTTTAGTGACAATAATTCACTCGAAATATGTAAGGTATTATAACATAATTGATCATAAATTAATCAAATATTCCAGTGTTGAACAACTGCACGAAACTGCATTTTAAGCTTACTAAAAAATAAAAAGATCAAGTAAATATGAACTAAGTAATATTTTTTTGAGTACTTGTAATTAAAACATACGCACTTTCGAATTTTGAAATCACAAACGAAACTGTATAAAATGTCACTTATTTGTCAATCTCAGGTAATTTAAGTGATTGTTGAAAATGTTATCAAAATAATTTCTAGAACTTAACAGGAAGTGAATTTGGAGTTCAGAGTTTCCTCTACTTCATTTAGCATTTTTTGGAGTATTTTTCAATATATTGTAGTTTGTTTAATTTGTGTTTAATAAAATACCATAAAACAAAAAATATGTCAATTTTATATTAAATATTTATAACATTTTTGTTTAAGTTAAATTTTTTAACCAAAAAATGTCAAGTTTATTATTGCGCACAAATCTAAATCAGATCTTGTAAAACTGTATCAATTTCGACATCCGGTATGTTTCTGTCTTCGTCTGATACACAGTACGCTGGCAAAGACTTATCACTTTAAGGGCACAAACGTTTACTTACGTACCTGTGTGATACGAAGACAAAAACAAAAACATACCGGTTTTACTATACTGTATGTACTATCGCACGCAAAAGTATTTTCGGCACTCAGCAGCGAGAGGTATTAGACTTCTCCGCCTCCTTTTTGCGGGATTTCATAACCCCATAAACACTTAGGTATAATTTAAAAATAATTAACGTATATTATAAATACATGCCATTATGTTTGTGCACTTTCAATGGACGAATTGTCATTATTTGACTCATTTTTTCCATAAAAAAATTATATCTTGTGATTGCATATCAAAGCAACCAATGTCGAGGCCCTCACTATTTCCCTACTTATTTTATCTTATTTTATTAAATAAAACAAAAGAGCAAAATAAATAATTAATCACAGGTGTGACAATAAACGGCACACCGCTATACATACAATAGCTTTGTTCTCTGAGTCAGTGACAGAAAGAATTCCGTATCCTAGATTTTGCTTTTACGTATTCTTTGATTTCTTATCGCCTACCCGGAACCGTTCTTTGTTTAACTTAATCACCGTTACGCCACCTTATGCGCACCCGTGGTGCCCCTTCTCTTCTTTATTTGCTCTTAGTTTGTTCTAAATCGGAATTTTAAAGAAGAATTATAATTTTTCCACATGAGCTATACTGCAACGAAAAACTTAAGTTGACAGGTCTGACGTAATACGATAAACAAATAAATCAATTAAGAACTTAAATGGCTTACTTAAAAAACAATAAATGCACTCGTGTATCAAACATTGTGCAACCTTTATCAGCAAGCACACGTTTCAGAAATCCATCATATTGACAGACTATATTAAAACAAAATTTGCACTTGTTTTAATCGCATCATTATCTAAAAGCGGCCATTCTGTTTACAAAGAACTTATTGATTTCCATCGGCATGGCTTACACAAGCATCAACTTGACAAGTACTGTTATTAACGCACTCAGATAAAGTCGACGCGAAATTGATTTGTGATGTTGGTTGCATAAACAAACCCAAAACCAACCTGAAACCTGGCGAGTCTTTTTTTCCACGAACGAATGCCCGACTGCCAGACTAAGTGGAGGACTTCTCTGTCGAAATTAACGTCCCAGCCTTCATGGGTGATGGAAAACGAGAAAGCAACGGCTGAATGGGCTTCCGCCATACTTCTTCACTCTGAAAAAATACATAGGACGTAAACATCTGGGTGTTAATCTTTGCACTACATCTACAGATTTTGACCTTTGACGTCAATTCCGCGATTGCAAAAGCGAACAAACGACGACAATTGAGGCGGAATTTTGGCGAGGCTGTCGACCTTTGGACTAATCAGCGATGTAGGTGTGTATGTGTGTGTCGAAGACGCTGCGGCCTTCTATTTCCATTTCTTCGCACAAAAATAAACGCGCGTGGTTATCGTGTCTATTTTGCTACATTTCTCGCTGCGTTGGTCTTATTGTCGTCTGCTAGTTGACCCTTGCGAGCGCGATTAAAAGTTTCTGGCAACAGATTCGATTTTGACGACTGACCTCAGATAACCCAAAAAACGTCTATAATTCTGACGTGGGAGATCACACGGGAATCTGTGTGAACTAATGGACTTATTACATTAGGGGACAGACCTTGAACAAAGTTCGCGGATATATTTTCAGGTGTCTAAATTAAGCGATGGATGTGTATAATAAAGTGAGCATGACTGACGGTTATGTAAACACAATCCTGGTTGAAATTTCTTCCACAGGAAATAGAAGCATACAAGGAAAGAAGTGTCCCTTGATTCCAAACTTTATTGGTAGATAAATATGTTTTTTTTTTAATTTGTGGATTATAGCACACGGCTTTCTATTACCTAACAAATTAACATCAGATTTACAAACATTTTGTATAATTTATTAAAAAGTTGCTCAAGCGAGTGCGTTTTATTACCTAAGGATACATACAAATTTTCAGAAAGAAACTCAGAAATGAGAAATATCTGACTCATAGTTTAAGATTGTGAAAAGTAACAAGGCTAAATCTAGACCAAATTGGAAGAATGCAACGACGTCAATTCTTATTCTTTTCACAAATCAAATACTAATAACAACAATTACTACTCTTCACTGAGATTTTTTTTTTAATAAAAAATGTTACATACGACACGCGAATTGTTAATTTGGAACCCTTGTATCACAGATGTGCATAAAAAGCGAAGTTCTACTGTAAAAATATGACTGTTTACACCGACTTAAGTATTAAAATAAAGTTGACTTACTGAAGTTTATTTTTCAAAATGTAGAAATTTTGTCGTGTTTTCCGCAGAATAACTCACTTATTGTGCTTATGTGGATGTATAATATTATTATTCACGCACGTCGATCACTCAAAACGTTTCACTATTAACGTGGTATTGAAATCTAATGTTGCGCTCGACTAATGAAATGCAATAAGCGTACTTATGTATATACGACTATACCAACACGACACTACGAGCCAACTGCACTTGAAAATATAAACAAAACCCACGATTGGAGCTTAGAAGATAATAGATTAAATGGGCGGATCTTTGAACGACTTTTAAATAGTTTTGTTTTTATTACCATCCGTCTTAGTAACGTTGTCTCATCTGGTATATCCGGGTTCCAACAGGTCAGGTAATATTTCTGTTCTAAATACAATTATCAGTTAATGTGATGTTTTGAATCAAAAAAGGTTTTACAGAAATAAAAAAATATTTAAACACTTAAATACCATTCTGTTTGATTTCGGGTGTTTGATTATTATTATTATTTATTTGGAACATTAAAAAATCACACTAAAATGATAAAAGTAAACAATTCCAGCTTTCATTATTTTCCAAATACAAAAATGTTTTGACTAGGTAAGTAATTTACACAAAATGAGTTTTAAACTACTGATTACCATACAATCAACGACGAACCCGTGGGCTACTGCCGAATTCCTGTATCGGTTGCATGAAATACGCCGCAAATATTGCACAATTTTTTGTCAAGTAATTGTAATTAAAAATCAAGGCTGATGCATAAACTACAAGTGCAGAAGTACATTATTTTGTAAGATTTCAGTAGCGTTTCATGTACAAAACTTTGAGGTGACGTTATCAAAGTGTTGGTGGGGATGAGTAGACGAATTTTGGTTAGCGTTTTACCATCTACACGATATTCATAACACACAGGCAGACAGACTGACGAAACAGGGGATCTATTGTGTTGAACTCGAGAGGTCATGGTGAAACGTCTAGAAAGCAAAAATCTTAGTTAGCGCCAGACCATCTTCATAACAATCCTAAAATACACTCAAAATATCTAATTAATTAATAATTCCGTAAAATTTTTCAACAAAAATAACAAATTCGTCCCAACAGAAATTTTGGATTAATATTTCTGCACAAACACGAGAAAATAGAAAAATCACGAAATCAAAAAATTGAAAATTTGTGAAATCGAAAAATTGAAAAATGGAAAAAATTTAAAGTTGAAAAATCGAGAAGAAAAACATTTTAAATTGAGATCTTGAAGAATTGCAAATCGCATAATTGAAATTAAAATACCTAAAAATTGAAAAGCAAAGTTATAAAACTGAAAAATTGAATTAAAGAAAAATCGAAAAAATTTTAAATTGAAACGAAACATAAAAATCGAAATCGGAACAAATTGAAGAATCGGGGTCCATTTGGCGAACGGCTAATTTCATGTTCCGACGTTTCATGATCCCTACAGTATGAAGATATTTCGACAGAACTTCCCTCACCCTTGAAGCACAATAAAACATACCCAGCTTTTTCGAAAAATTTTAAAATTTGTGCAATACTAATAATAACAGTATTGTATTCCCAAATTTTCGGGAAAATGGAGTGACCCGTTCCTGGTTTAATCAATAAAATAAATTGACTCATTCATTAATTTTTTTTAAGTCACGAGGGACAAGTAATTCTAAAAAATATAAATTCAATGATAAATCACAAGGATAAACTCAATCATATTTTGCCACATTTTTGATAGGATTTATTCGGCAAAATTTTGAGATGACGTCATGAATTTTTAAATTGCAAAATGTTATAAAATTTTGATTTTTTCCATAAATCTGAATGTCTAGGGTAAAAATTAATACATTACAAGTGCCAAAAGTATCTTATTTTATAAAAAAAAATATACATTTATTGTAAATTTTGGAATGACGTCATGCCATTGCTGGCAGAGATGATTAGTTAATTTTGGCGAGCGTTTTACCATCTACATGATATTCCTAATGTACGTACAAAATTTGACGACAATCGGTGCAGTAGTTTCGGAGATTATCTGTCTTCGTACTCAAGGGGTCATGACAGGTCGAGAAAACATAAAAGCGGAGGGACTTACGCTCAGAAAGTAAAAAAAGGGCTCCCGTTTCCGTGTATCTGGCGTCTGTGTCGATATTTATTGGACAGAAAATCTTCGAAACTACTGGACCGATTGTTGTCAAATTTTGTATGAATCTTGGGAATATCATGTAGAAGACAGTAAAATGCTAACCAAAATTTGTTTAATCACCCCCACCAGCAATCTGTTGAAGCCATCTCAAAACTTTTCAACGTAAATGTTATTTAAATTTTACAAAATTTTGTGGTTTGTGAATTCGTCTTCGTTCTTTATTGATATATTTTTTATTGTTTAATGAATCTCATGTAGATGGTATTCTGGATTCTGGATTCTTAATTTATGGGGGCTGACCGTAGCCAGCCGGCACTTAGGCCTCGCCTTTGGGCCCATTGTACCTTCCCCAAGTCTATATCAGGGTGTTTTCCCGCTCCTCTACTCGTCAAGCCACCCAACTGCTTGAATGTACTTGAGTAATGCAGAGGGTGGAAACTCCCTGATATTTGCCGTACTAGGCCAGATGTCCCCTAGTATGGATTCCCTGTAGGAGGCTCATGTAGATGGTAAAATGCTAACCAAAATTTGACTAACCGTCCCCACCAACAGTATGATGACGTCACCTCAAAATCTTCCACTGTAAATGTTATATAAATTTCATAAAATAACATACATTTATACTTATGGTTTATGAATCCGCCTTTATTTTGTAATTGAGTCCGTCGGCCGACTGTATATTTTTGTTTTCTCGATCTTTCATGACCCCTAGAGTATGAATATGTATATATGTATAATAAGTCTCCCGCTTCCGTCTGACTGTCTGTCTGTCCGTCTGTATTTTTAATTTTGTATTTATACAGCGTGTTATTGAAAGGTACGTACAAAATAATATCTGCAATTGGTCTCGATGTATGGGTGCTAAAAGTTAAAAAAAAGTTCAGATAAAAGTGTTCTCCTTTTAGAGATAAAAATTATTAAAATGTATGTCCAAATTCATTGTACGCCTCTGATAAAAAGATCATCTTTCGTTTCTATAGCAACATTGGGTGAACTGTGCTGGATTTCCTCAATAAAACAAATTCTTCATTTGTTAATTTTTTGGGTCGCCCTGTATGAGCAATTTGAAATTAAAAATTCGACCTCCAAATTTATAAACTTTCTATAATCAAAATTTACATAGTAAGGTGGTCCTTGGAGCAAATTTTCTAATTATTAATTTTTCACCTTTAAATTTCACAAGTTTTTTCAAGATCAATAGGAGCAAAATCAGTTTAATCTTAACAAATACTAGGCCCGCCCACCCGGCCCCTATTTTTCCAGAAGATGTCATTTGTCAAAATCAGTCTTATCTTACCAAGTACTAGCCCCGCCCGCCCGCCCTCTGTTTCTTCAGGGGATATGTCATCTGCTAAAATCAGTCTTATCTTACCAAGTATTAGCCCCGCCCACCCGCCTCCTATTTCCTCAGAGTATATATTATTTGCCAAAATAAGACTTATCTTACCAAGTACTAGCCCCGCCCACCCGCCCTCTGTTTCCTCAGGGGATATGTCATCTGCCAAAATAAGACTTATCTTACCAAACACTGGCACGTGACAAAAGTTTTATTGTTACAGTTGCTAGGATGTACTAAAATAAATTCATTTTACCTATTTATCCTTCAGTAGCGTCTAAAAAGGTTGGATAAGCGCTAATTTTCCCCTTATAATTTTGATAACACAAAATAAGTTTTTCAGACTTCTTAGACTTCGCGAAGAACTGTCAATTTTGTTGTACGTACCTTTCAATAACACCCTGTATTAGGAATATCACGTAGATGGTAAAACGCTAACCAAAATTTGTCTAATCATCGCTACCAATAATGTGATGACGTCACTTCAAAATTGTACATAGAAAATCGTTTTAAATTGTATAAAATAACCTAGTCCTACACATGTTGTTTATGACTCCGTGTTGAGTTTTTACCCAAAACGTCCAGATTTTTGGAAAAAAATCAAAATTATAAAATAACATTTTGCAATTTCATTTTCAATTTGCTAAAATATAGTTGCTTATCCACTACAAAAAATTGATGACGTCATCTCAAAATTCTGCCGGATAAATACTATTTAAAATGCGCAAAATATGATCAGTGTGTGATTTATCACTGCATTCATATTTTTTAAATTTGCTTAAACAGGGTGACTCAAAAAATTACTGAATGCCTGAATTTATTTTATTGATTTAATCAGGAACTGCACAACCAAATCCGTTGAAACCTTCGAGATGTTTTAAAGTTATCACGAGCTTGGTAAATTTTTGATCAAAATGTATTTGCTCATCCCCTCTAACAAATTGATGACGTCACCTCAAAATATTGCTGAAAATATCTGATCTTAAATGTCCAAAATATGATGAGTCGATACTTGTGATTCATTTTTAATGTACGATTAATATTTTTTAAATTTGCTTGTACAGGGTGTCTCAGAAAAATTAATGACTGAGTTGTTAGAAAATAAATATCCAATCAGATTTAGGAGTTTAACTCGTTACTATGGAAATATGCAATTTAGCCCCGTACACCCGCCCTCTATTTTTCCACAGGGTATGGCATTTACCAAAATTAGTCTTATCTAAGCAAATACTATCCCCGCCCACCCACCCTCTGTTTTTTCAGGGGGTATGGCGTTTGCCAAAATCAGTCTTATCTGAGCAAGTGCTAGCCCCGCCCACCCGCTCCTATTTTCTCAAACGATAAGTGATTTGCCAAATTAAGACTTATCTTAGCAAGTACTGGCAAGTACTACCCTCTGAGAAAATAAAGGGCGGGTGGATGGGGCTAGTACTTGCTAATATAAGTCTTATTTTGGCAAATGACATATCCTCTGAGAAAATAGGAGCCGGATGGGCGGGACCAGTATTTGGTAAGATAAGTCTTATTTTGGCAAATGACATATCCTCTGAGAAAATAAGGGGCGGGTGGGCGGGGCTAGTGCTTGGTAAGATAAGACTGATTTTAGCAGATGGCATATTCCCTCAGGAAACAGGGCGGGTGGGCGGGGCTAGTACTTGGTAAGATAAGTCTTATTTTGGCAAATAATATATACTCTGAGCAAATAGGGGGCGGGTGGGCGGGGCTAGTATTTGGCAAGATAAGACTGATTTTGACAAATGACATCTTCTGGAAAAATAGCGGGCGGGTGGGCGGGCCTAGTATTTGTTACTCACTTGAAACATACGCATAGCATGATTTTGTTTTGACTTATAGGGATTAAAATGAAAAAAATCGACAAAATCAAATTTTATAATATTTCCAAGAAGCATTTCTGGAAGTAGCAAATTATCTAATATATTCTACAGTCATTTTTTAATAATTCAACACTCAATCAAGACGAAAAATGCACGAATGCTTTGAAAAATATGTGATTTAATTTACGTATACGTGCGCTACGCGCACGATGCACGCGTAGAACATCTTCAGCATCTTTGTCCATCGCAATTGCGATCATTACACTAAAAATAAGAATAAAAATACACTATATTATGAGCTTAAACACTACATGTTGTTCATGCAAGCGCTAAATTAAACAAATTATGACTTTAAAAACCAGCAAATATTATAAACGATCCATTTCTAAATACGCATAAAAACGGTTTTCCCACACAACGGAGTAATGCTCAGACAGACAAACAACATTGTTAAGCCGCAATGACATGTGACACTCATCAATCGCACTTCCGTGTTTATGTTGGTTTATGCGGTGCCTCTGGATTCTAATTTTATGACGATTCCAAGAATTTCGAATCATTTTAATTATTAAAATCAAAATAAATGTCACTTTCGAGCAACACTACTAGAAATAAATAATTACATTCCTTTTCAAGAAGATTATGTAAACTAGCTTTCTGTCCTACGTGACAATGAAATCATTTCAATACACTACACACGGAAAAAGAGAAAAGTGACTTTGCCATCGGTTGCGATCCAAACAGGAAATGCCGCTTGAGGATAACCACTGCTGCAGTCATTTGGCCTCAAATAAAAATTGGAATGTCCGCCATAATTATTTGGCGAACCAAAAAAAATGCACATATTGCGACACCGTAATTTGGTTGTCAAAAATAAAATGATTTATGTTTATCCCAATAAAACTGATTCTGTCTCAGTCATCACCAATTAATACCACTATTACAAATTGATATCATTTAAATTTATTTCCGTATGCCTGTAACTGGTAGATTGCAACTGACCTTCAGACTATTAACTTTGGAACCTAAATCGCTACACTGTCACCAATGTCATTATCAACTCACAACTCAACACAAATTTCGGTTTTCGTTGCGTCCCTGATGGCCAGCCAAGTATAACAATTTTGAGTGTCTCTTAAAATCAGAAACAATGCGATATGGTTGAGCTCATTGGACTTCAGCAACTACATGACTCAGTAATCAAATTAAATTCAAGAGATACGATTTTTTATTGTTTCACAGGTCTCAATTGTTGTATTAAAATTGGTTTCCCCACGTCCAATTTAGAATATGTAACTTATTGATTTCCAAACCACTTACGTGTCACGGAATTAAACAAACACAATCCCCAAAATACCCACACGATAAGTGGTGCGAAGATGATCACAACTTTGCGGGCAAACTACCAGACAAAGTCAACAACATTTTACCTGCAACAATACCGCGTGTTGCCAGTATCCAAATGTCCAAAAAACCCAAAATAATAAACTTGTTTTTCAACTCGGATGCAACCTTGGAATTTGAACAAGTGACGTGAAAGTACGGAGACGTAATTAACGAAATTAATACTTAAAAACGCATTACTTGTATTAGAGTGTTAATTCGTATCTTCAAATTGAAAAGTGAAATACCGTTACGGTGTGTAATTCTAGAAAGTGGAGGTAGGTATTAAAATTTTGAACCTAGTTATAATTTACGACAGCTTGTAACACGGGAAGCGAGTAATTTTACGGTTTATCAAGAATTTCGCCACCAGAAGTCGTTCGTCAAAACACAGCAATATTATCTCGTTTCCAATTATGGTTGTTTTGTCTGAGATAAGAGTCTACTTGGACAAACGTACCTTCGAATATATTTTTTATCATTCGTGGGTACATACTCGAATCGAGTGTTTACGGGCCATTATTATCAAATATCTTTGTAAATCTGGCCGTGACACTACAATCGAACAAGGTACTGTTGTTTATTTTTTAGTCGACGTAATATCTTTTTCGGTGCTATTATGATAACAAAACAATGTTAATCAAAAATGATGATGAACCAAAATAATCCAGATCTGAGCTCGATAATAAGAATACTATACCTGATTACTTAAAAAATAATCACTACCATATGTCTACCACTTACTTAGTTGTATTAACACGAAGCTTAAATGGAAATCGTCGCAAATGAGTTTAGAAATCGAATTAAATATTCTGGGCGTTTTTCTGCGGTTTGTTAATGTTGTAGTTGACTGTTGCTATCGCTGTTAAACGATAGCGTAAATTAATATTGTTGAAGGTTCTTTGTTCCACACATTCGTCCTGTACGAAAATACTTGAACTTCGCGAATGCTTAACATCTATGTACAATAGTAAAAATATTTGTCACATTTTGGTTTACACAACCCACTGTGATACTCAGGGGTATTAATATTAAAAATATTAACTGTCAGGTGAGGAGTCGCCGACTTAAGTCCGGCAAAAACTATAGCAAGTAGTTTACTACACCTATACAATAAACTGTATTATACAATAAACTGTTACGTTTTATTTTAGAACAATTTATAATTGAAATCCATAACCAGAAAATTAAAAAAAATAATTGTTATTGTACTGATGGCCTACGATAACTAAATATTGTTTTCCAATTAGCCAATTCATGTTTAACATATAAAAAAAATTAATAAACAATGACATTGGAAATAACAGGAATTACATATTTTGAGAAAAGTTCGTTTGACTGGTAATTGGTTAAAGCTAAATAATTCATAATTGTACTGCCGACGTACCTCAGACAACAGAATAGGTACTGAACATTATTTATGGCATATTTGAAGTTTCCTTGACTTTGCGGTCAGTAACCTTTTATGAATGAATAAAGCAAATTTTGTAGACGAAAATCTGATCAATTTTCACAAAATGTAAAAATAAAGCAAGCATTAAAATTTCGTATTTCAAAAATGCCAGAATTTTTTAAAAAGGCATCAGCAAAAATTGTAAATACAAATTTTTGGAACAGTGAAGGACATGCCATTTAAAAAGTCTGTCTGAAACTACTGGATCGATTGTTGTCAAATTTTATACGTATTTTAGGAACATCGTGCCAAATTTTATAAAATCTTGTGGATTTTGTGTTCAAATGGTTGAAATTTACATAAAAATGTGTGTAAATTTTCTAATTAAAATATTTTGCTCAAGCGAATATACAGTAACTTTTTGTAAGTTTAAAAAAATCATATTTGCACATTTTCACTTCTGGAGAAAAAAGCTTGAAATGTTACTAAACGCGAACCACGTTTTCATGTAAAATAGGCAACAAGAAAGACCTACTTTCACATACATACAGGAATAGACAAAAGTTTTTTCTAGATACCTGATTTTAAAAATAGAAAAATTTGTCTTAACGACCATCATATTAAAAACTTGAATTGTTACAAATCGTTACAAGTTGTTATTACTAGCATTTTGACGTGCAAAAGTTCAATAAAACCCACTTTCTGACAACTCGTTATCAAAATTATGTACGTACAAAATCCATTTATATTTTTATTACACTTTACTACATAAAGCACAAAGTTCATTAGACTTTAACAACGTTTTAAATTCACTTGAAACAATTAAAATGCGACAGAATTTACAATTAGGTAAATCGCCAATTCATGATTCATTTTGTATACTAGTGACCTTTACACCGGCTAAAAATCAACAACAAGCACTCAACTAACGATAATATTCACATTATACACAAAACTTAAATAATCAACTAATATAAGTTTACAAGTGATTAATTAACACATGAAAGCAAGATAACTAAACAATAGTCTCAAAATAATTTTTGTAGAACCGTCAAACAGCGTTTTTTTTGTCAAAATGTAACAATCTTTTACCATTTTTCACAGCTACTTCTGTTTACGTTACACGTGGAAAAAAGCGTTGTTACCACACCTGTGTCAAGCTGGCACAAGACGAAGTGCTACCAGTTGTATAATCAAATCACGCGAAGGTGATAATGAAACTACCACCAATTAAAAAATTAGTTGAAGGTTATTTCGACAGAACCTCCCTCGAACCTGAAGCACAGCCCAACAAATCCCGTTTCCATCGCTTTTTTGACTTGAATTTTTCAATTCTTCCATTTTTCTTTTTTTATTTCTTTAGTTTTTCAATTTTCCAAATTTTGAATTTTTAAATTTTTCGATTTGCAATTTTTTGTTGCGATTTTTAATTTTCTTTATTTTTTCGATTATTCGATTTTTCAATGTTTCGATTTTATAATTTTGTTTTTTCAATTTTTCGTTTCCTATTTGCATTTTTTTTTTGTTTCGTCAATTTTAAGACATGCATTTTTTGGAGTTTTCATTTTTAAATTCTTCAGTTTTTCAATTTTAAAACATTGAATTTTTAAATTTTTGGATTTGCAATTTTTCGAATTGAGTTTCACGAGTTTTTAATTTTTAAATTTTTCGATTTGCAATTTTTTGTTTCAATTTTTAATTCTTAATTTTTTTCAAATATTCGATTTTTGAGTTTCGGTTTTCTAATTTTTTGTTTATTCAATTTCAATTGTTTCAATTTTGTTCCTTAAATTTTTCGATTTTTGATTTTTCAATTTTTGGTTTCCTCAATTTTTCAAGTTCTTGATCTTTACTTTTCTTTTTCCCAATTTTTTAAATTTTCAGTTTATTCAGTTTATATCACAATTTTTCATTTTTTCATTTCTTTTATTTTTTCAATGTTTTTTTCGATTTTGTAATTCTTCGTTTATTCAGTTTTAAAATTTTCAATCTTCGATTTTCAAATTCCTCCATTTTCCAATTTTTAGATTTTTTAATTTTGCAATTTTTGGATTTCCAGTTAACCGATTTTCCGAATTCTTTAATTTTCACTATTTCGATGTTACAATATCTTTTTGGTTTTTCGATTTAAACTTTTTCGATTTTTCATTTTTTCGTAAAACCAAAAAATTGAAAAAACAAAGAAAATAGAAAACCGAAATCCAAAATCGTAAAATTGTAGAAATAAAAAACTGAAAATTGAAAACTCGTAAAATTACAAATAATCGAAAAATTGAAAAATCCAAAAAGTGGGAAAATCGACAATTTTAATAATTTAAAAACGAAAACTTTAAAAGTTCTTATTTCTTCGATTTTTAATTTTTCAATTTTTCGATTCTCCAATATTTCATATCTTCAAATTTTCAATTTGCAATTTTTTGTTTCGATTTTTAGTTCTTTATTTTTTTCGATTATTCGATTTTTCAGTGTTTCGGTCTTATAATTTTTTGTTTATTCAATTTCAATTTTTTCATTTCTGTGTTTCTTCAATTTTATGATTTTCGATTTTTCAGTTTTTGGTTTCCTCAACTATTTTTAATTTTCCTCTTCCCAGCTTTTTAAATTTTCAATTTCTCCAGTTTATACACAACTTTTTTTTTAATTTCCTTTATTTTTTCAATGCTTTTTCGATTTTGTAATTCAGCGTTTATTCAATTTTTAAAATGCTCAATTTTCGATTTTCAAATTCCTCCATTTTCCAATTTTTATTTTTTTTAATTTTGCAACTTTTGGATTTCCAGTTAACCGATTTTCAGACTTCTTTAATTTTCAATATTTCGGTTTTTCGATGTTACACTTTTTCGATTTTTAAGTATCTTAATTTTTAATCTTTCAGTTTTTAAATTTTTCGTTTCTTCAACTTTTCAAGCTCTTGATCTCCAATTTTTCGATTTTTCGTTTCGTACTTTTTCGTTTTAAAAAAAATAAAGAAAATAAAAAACCGAAATGCAAAATTGCAAAATCGAAAAATTGAAGAAATGAAACACTGAAAATTGAAAAATCGTAAAATTACAAATAATCGAAAAATTGCAAAATTTAAAACTGAAACATCCAAAAGCGGGAAAATCCAAAAATTTAAAAACGAAAACTTTCTTCGATTCTTCAATTTTTTCGTTTATCCAAATTTTCCATTTGCAATTCTTCGTTTCGGTTTTTTATTTTCTTTTTTACAATTTTTCGATTTTATAATGTTCCGATTTTATAATTTTTTGTTTTTTCAATTTCAATTTTTTCAATTTGCAAAATTTCACTTTTTCATATTTTTTTTTATTTCGTCAATTTTAAGACATGCAACTCTTCCAGTTTTTATTTTTAACTTTGTCGATTTTTCGATTTTTCAACTTTTGGATGTTTCGATTTTGCAATTTTTTTATTTGCAATTTCACGAGCTTTCAATTTTTTTTACGTATCAATTTTTCGGTTTTTCGTTTCTTCAGTTTTTCTCATTGTGAAAATTTTCAACTTTTCGATTTTTCAATTTATAGATTTTTTAATTTTTTTTTTTTTTTCAATTTTAGATATTTCAGTTTCTCGATTTTTCAATTTTTCGTTTCTTCAATTTTTGATTTGCAATTTTTCTAGTTTCCATAAGTAATAATTATTATAATTTTTAAAATTTTTCTCCATTTTACGATTTTAGAATTTTTCTATTTTTCAATTACATACGTATTACATTTTAAAACTTTTTCATTTATTCGATTTTTCAATTTTTCGATTTTTAATATTCCAATTTTTCAATGCAGTTTTTTTTATTCTCAATTTTTAGTTTTCAATGTTTCAATCTTTAGTTTCTTCAGTTGTTCGCTTTGCAATTTGTCAATTTTTCACTTTTTGGATTTTGTAATTTTTCGTTTTTTCAATTTATCATTTTTTTCCGATTTTTTTTTTAATGTTTCGATTTTTCAAATTGTAAAAAAACGAAAAAGTGGACTTGAAGAGGCAAAGTTTGAAAATTTAAAAAAATGAATAAACTAAAAATACTTTATAATTTTTAGGAAAGAAAGGAAATATTGAAAAAATAAAGGAAAATAAAACGCGAAAAACAGTGATATAAAATCAAGACAATGACAATTTAAAAAAAAAATGGGGAAAATGACAAATAAAAAGCACGAACTTGAAAAATCGAGAAATTAAAAATTGAGAAACTGAAAAATCCCAACATGAAAAATTGTAATACCGATAAAAATTGTAAAATGGAAAAATTGCAAATCGAAAAATTGAAGAAAGGAAAAATTGGAAAATTTGGAAGTAGAGAAATTGAAAAAATTAAACTTGAAAAAACGAAATATTATGATCAATGATATATTTTTGATTTGCAATTTTTCTACTTTTTAAAACTTTTCCATTTATTCAATTTTTTAATTTTTCGATTTTTAATATTCCAAATTTTTAATTTTTAAATTTACAATTTTTCGGTTTTCCAATTTTTCAACGCATTTTTTTTATTCTCAATTTTTAGTTTTCAATGTTTCAATCTTTGGTTTCTTCAGTTCTTCGCTTTGCAATTTGTCAATTTTTCACTTCTTGGATTTTGCAATTTTTCGTTTTTTCAATTTATCATTTTTTTCCGATTTTTTGTTTTTCGATTTTTCGAACTGTAAAAAACCGAAAAAATTTAAAATGAAAACTGAAAAATCTAAAAACTGAAAGTCAAGAATAAAACTGAAGAAACGAAAAATTCAAAAATCGATATTTTAAAAATTACGAAACTTAAAAATCGGAAAAGTGCATAATCGAAAAAACGAAATATGTATTATTGTATTATAAAATCGAAAGATCGGAAGTTAAAGAAATCAGAAAATCAGATAATTGCAAATCCAAAAACTGCAAAATTAAAAATTTTGAAAATTGGAGTTGAAAAGGCAAAGTCTGAAAATTTGAAAAATTGAATAAACTAAAAATTATAAAGTCAAAGGAAATACATAGTGAAAAAATAAAGGAAAATAAAACGCGAAAAATAGTGACATAAAATCAAGAAAATGAAAATAAATAAAATGGGGGAAATCACAAATAAAAAGCAAGAACTTGATAAATCGAGAAATTAAAAATTGAGAAACTGGAAAATCGAAACATGAAAATTGTAATATCAAAAATTGTAAAATTGAAAAATTTGGGAGTAGAGAAATTGTTGAAAAAATTAAACTTGAAAAAACGAAATATTATGACATTAATATATGGAAAAATTGTGATACGGAAAAATTGTAAAATCGAAGGAAATTCGAAAAATTCTGCAGTTTCAAATTTACGGGAAAATTGAGTGAGTCGTTCTTGATTTTAAGCAATACAATAAATTGTCTGGTTTATCTTTCTTTGGTCACTCTGTAAACTAACCTGGTTTGACATACACCTTGTAAAACTTTTATGACTTAAGCACCCTTATAAGTCAAACTGGCTATGTATTACCTAACTCAATTCACAGCTTCAAAATGCCAACAATGGACAGTAATAATCCTTGAGGTTCGGGTCCACAAAGCTTAGGTACTAATAGTCAGTTTGACTTATAAGGGTGGTTTGGCTTAAGCCGCTTAAGTCATAAAAGTTTTACAAGGTGTCAAGTGAGGTTACTTTATAAGTATTTCTAAAATCTTTGAGTGCACTGACACACCACATTATAGATTCATACTATTTTGCAGATTTCAGAGGCTTTATTTGGCAAAATTTTGAGATGACGTCATCCATTTTTTGGAAGAGGATAAACGAATAAATTTTTTTTAACGATTTACCACGATTGCAAGTTTACAAAATGTTGTTATATAGGTAATTTTGATTTTTTTCCCACAAATCTGGACGTCGGGGGTGAAAACTCGACACGGATTCATAAACTACGTGTGCAAGAGTATCTTATTCTATAAAATTTACATAATATTTCGTAAATTTTGGAGATAAAGTCATCCTATTATTTTATCTATTATTTTACCATCTACACCAGAAAACAAAAGTAGCCAGTCGTCCAATGGACTCGATTACAATACTTCCTTAGCTTACTCTCAGGAAGTAAAAACGATGTGTACGTATTTTATCCAAAAAAATAAAAAACGATAATAGTATACGGAAAAAATAGGCACAACTGTCGAATCAATCTAAATCAGTTCTATTAAAATCAGTTCTCGACTAGCGTCTCATTGCGAACTTAAGTGACATTTCAACCACAGACTTAAGTCTACTTACGCTTGTAAAACGTTTTAAGTCTGTCAGGGAAAGCAGCTGTTTGTCGTCTTCCTTGAATGAACCAAACCGCGAGAATTTAACACCGTATTCATTACAATTGCATTGACCTAGACCATCTGTGCCAACGTAACCCCATTAACAGAAAAACCAGCCGGACTACGAAACACGTGTTAACTCCATTGGAAGAGCTCAAAGTCGTGAAAGCTCGTCGAAGACAACTTTCGTAACACAAATAAAAGTGCAGACTTTGTAACTTACTAACCGTGGCAATGAAAAGAAAAACGTAAATGACGTCAATGGCAGTCGTCTTCGCACAGGTGGGCCTAAAACCGGCTCGTTGGACCATCATAAATGATTTTTCGTCGCGAATTTCACATTATTCAAACTTAGGTGGGAGCGCGCAGCAACGATAAATAAACACAGTCCAAAGTCCAAACTACATTCCAAAGGTCAAAACGCTAAAAAAAATTATCGGACTCACCACGGGGTCTTGGGGCACGAAGAACGAGCTTCTGGTGAGCGACGAGAGAGACGGTTTGCGGAAATCGTGACGACTGTGGCAGGTGGTCGGTGGTGGCAAGCACCCCAAATGAAGCTTCGGGACTGCTCAAAGCGCACTATTATATCCGAATTTGTGTGAATTATTGATAACACGTCACATGCACCCAATTTTTAAACGTGGGAGTGTGTGATCGGTTCAGTGTGATTGGTCAATTTGGGGTTCGGCCTTTTATCTCGCCTTGTTTACTATTTGCACCGCTTTATCAATTGAGGACTTGTTGTTTGTTTAATTCTCGTAAATCAAGGCGCGATTATGTGGCAGTCATATGGTTTCGTTTCCACCAACAATTCAATTACACACTTCAGCTTATTTTAAACTCGTGACCTAAATAAGACGAACTTCCTTAGGTCGTTTCTAATTTCTACTGTCGCCTCTTCACCTACTACCGGAAAAAATTAGAGCACCTTCCTCTCGAACGCGACCACCGAAAAACTTTGTTCCGATTTACCAAAAAACACTTACCTTATGAGTATTTCCGATTTGGGGGCTCTCGCACGAAAAACTGCCGCCTTTTCTAACAGAACATAGCCGGCTGGAGGTGAAATCGAATGGAACAACTGCTGAGATTTGCGTGTTTTGCGGTATTGTTGCGGAAAAATCTGTTTTCACGATTTGGTTGTTTTGAACGAAACTGTTCGACTGTTGAACGCGGAATGCCAATGCGAATTGGTTCGGTGAGTGCAGTTGCTGCTTGTTGGCGCTTGCGAAACAGCCTTGAACTGTCAGAGTTTACAGTTAAACAACTAAAGTGAAGTTAGGTACAGGTGGACTGGTTTGGGTGGTATTGACTAAACTGACAAAATTAATTTAACGAATTAGGATAAGTTTGCAGCTACGGTTAAAAGCTCATTCAAAAATCTAGCCGTTACTTTTGTACATTCTATTTGTTCGGTTTTTCGGACGACGTATATTGCGGTGTACAGCACACGAATGAAATAATGACCCTGTTGCTCGTTGTGAACGGAAGTACGGCACAGGAGCCAAACAATGAGTGTCACTCAAAATTGAAAAACTGCTTATTATTGTCTCAGAGAACATAAAGAAGCGTCATAGTTTAAATTAAATCACGGTTGAGGACTCCTCGACTTATGTTGGCAACAGTGTTTGTTTCTAACTAGGAATAAAATTAACTAGAAAAAATGTGATAATATTTTTAACGACGCGTTTTACTTTCAACAAATTGACACTAGATTTACTGGAATATTACAAGCTGCTTACTGTTTCCTTCACTTTAATTCAGGGCTCACGAATTACAGTTCGTGGTCTGAGAACTTGTTTGATCTACAGACCAGAAAAACTGAGATTTCGAAATTTTAGTTTGGGGATTTTTCAGTTTACTCCTAGTTATTACTCAATTTTTGGATTTTACAATTTCTAAATTTTTCAATTTCTAGGTTTTCAGTTTTTCTCTTCAATTTTACGATTTTTAAATATTTAAATTTTTCAATTTTTGACTTTTATAAACTCTTTATTTGTCGATTTTTCAATTAATTGATTTTTCAGGTTTTTTGGTTTTTCAATTTTTCCATTTTTTCGGGTTTCGATTTTTCAACTTCACTTTTTTGATTTTTCGATTTCTCAATTTTTCAATTTTTTTAATTTCTCAGTTTTTGGACATTTCAGTTTTGGGATTTTTCAGTTTACTTGTTATTCAATTTTTCGATCTTACGATTTTTCAGTTTTTCGATATTTCAGTTTTGGGATTTTTCAATATTTGTGTTCTTCGACTTTTCCATTTTTGACTTTGGGATTTTTCGATGTGTCGACTTTTTACTTTTTCGATTTTTAAATTTTAGATTATTCAGTTTTTTGATATTTTAATTTTTCAATATTTAAAATTTTAGATTTTTCGATTTCTCGATTTTTCAATTCAGCTCTTCCATGTTTCAATTTTTCAAATGTTTCAATTTTTCGACTTCCCTGTTTTCAATTTTTCGATTTTTAAATTTTACGATTTATAAATATTTCGATTTTTCAATTTTTGACTTTTATAAACTCTTTATTTGTCGATGTTTCACTTAATTGATTTTTCAGGTTTTTTGGTTTTTCAATTTTTCTATTTTTTCGGGTTTCGATTTTTCAACTTCACTTTTTTGATTTTTCGATTTCTCAATTTTTCAATTTTTTTAATTTCTCAGTTTTTGGACATTTCAGTTTTGGGATTTTTCAGTTTACTTGTTATTCAGTTTTTCGATCTTACGATTTTGCAGGTTTTTGATTTTTCAATTTTTCGATTTTTTTAAGGTTTCGATATTTCGACTTAAATTTTTTGATTCTCAATTTTTTTATTGTTTAGATTTTCATTTTTGGGATTTTTCAGTTTTTCAGTTTTTCTTTCATTTTTCAGTTTTTCGATATTTCAGTTTTGGGATTATTCAATATTTGTGTTCTTCGACGTTTCCATTTTTGACTTCGGGATTTTTCGATGTGTCGACTTTTTACTTTTTCGATTTTTAAATTTTAGATTTCTCAATTTTTGGTATTTTAATTTTTCAATATTTAAAATTTTAGAGTTTTCGATTTCTCGATTTTTCAATTCAGCTCTTCCATAATTCAATTTTTCAAATGTTTCGATTTTTCGACTTCCCGGTTTTCAATTTTTCGATTTTTAAATCTTACGATTTTTAAGTATTTCGATTTTTCAATTTTTGACTTTTATAAACTCTTTATTTGTCGATTTTTCAATTAATTGATTTTTCAGGTTTTTTGGTTTTTCAATTTTTCCATTTTTTTAGGTTTCGATTTTTCAACTTCACTTTTTTGAATTTTCGATTTCTCAATTTTTCAGTTTTTTAATTTCTCAGTTTTTAGACATTTCAGTTTTGGGATTTTTCAGTTTACTTGTTATTCAATTTTTTGATTTTACCATTTTGCAGATTTTTGATTTTTCAATCGATTTTTTTAAGGTTTCGATATTTCGACTTCACTTTTTTGATTCTCAGTTTTTCGATTCTTTAGATTTTCAGTTTTGGGATTTTTCAGTTTTACGATTCGTCAGTTTTTCTTTCATTTTTCAGTTTTTCGATTTTTAAGTTTTGAGATTTTTCAATATTTGTGTTCTTCGACTTTTCCATTTTTGACTTCGGGATTTTTCGATGTATCGACTTTTTACTTTTTCGATTTTTGAATTTTAGATTTCTCAATTTTTGATATTTTAATTTTTCAATATTTGAAATTTTAGATTTTTCGATTTCTCGATTTTTCAATTCAGCTCTTCCATATTTCAATTTCTTAATCTTTCAATTTTTCGACTTCCCGGTTTTCGATTTTCTGTTTTTCAATTGTCGTTTTTTCAAATTTTCGATTTTTCAATTAATCGATGTTTTGATTTTCCCATTTCTTGACTTTCGAGGAGTTCGATATTCCTGTTCTTCAATTCTTTAATTTTTCGATTTTTCTGGTTTTTGATTTTTCGTTTTTTAGTTTTTTTTAAGTTTCGATTTTTCGAGTTCACTTTTTGGATTTCTCGCTTGCTCAAATTTTCGACTTTTTAGGTTCTCAGTTTTTGGATATTTCAGGCTTTACATCTTTCAGGTTTTGTTTCATTTTTCAGTTTTTCGATATTTCAGTTTTGGGATTTTTCAAGATTTCGATTCTTCGACTTTTCGATTTTTGGCTTCTGGAGTTTTCGATGTGTCAATTTTTTTACTTTTTCGATTTTTCAATTTTTCGATTGCTTAATCTTTCGATTTTTCGACTTCCCGATTTTAGATTTTCTGTTTTCAATTGTCGTTTTAAATTTTTCGATTTTTCTATGTTTTGATTACGATTTAGTTTCCCATTTTTAGTTTTTCTTTCATTTTTCAGTTTTTCGATATTTCAGTTTTGGGATTTTCCAATATTTCGATTATTCGACTTATCGATTTTTCAATTTTTCGATTTTTAAATTTTAGATTTTTTAATTTTTAAAATTTTAGATTTTTCGAATTCTCGATTTTTCATTTCAGTTCTTCGATATTTTCCAAATTTTCCAATTTTTCAAATGTTTCGATTTCTTAACCTTTTGAATTTTCGACTTGTCAGTTTTAGATTTTCTGTTTTTCAATTGTCATTTTGTCAAATTTTCAATTTTTTAATTTTTCGAATTTGACTTTTATAAACTCTCAATTTTTTGGAGTTTTCAATTAATCGCTGTTTTGATTTTCCCATTTCTTGACCTTCGAGTGTTTCGATTTTCCTGCTCTTCAATTCTTTTTGATTTTTCAGGTTTTAGATTTTTCAATTTTTCGATCTTTTAAGGTTTCTATTTTTCGACTTCACTTTTTTGATTTTTCAATTTTTCAGCTTTAGGATTTTTCAATATTTCAATTCTTCGGCTTTTCTACTTTTAACTTCTGGATTTTTTGATGTGTCGACCTTTTTACTTGTTCGATTTTTCAATTTTTGGATTTTTAAATTTTAGATTTTTCAATATTCTGATATTTTAATTTTTCAGTATTTCTTAATCTTTCGATTTTTTGACTTCCTGGTTTTAGATGTTCTGTTTTTCAATTTTTCGACTTGTTAATTTTTCATTCCCGATTTATCGAGATTTAATTGTTCAGGTTTTCAAATTACAAGTTTTTCAGTTTATTATTTTGGCCTATTTCGGTTTCTCACTATTTCCAGTTTTCCAATTTTTCGTTTTTTGATTTTTCCGCTTTTCCAATTTTTCAACTTTAAACTTTTTGTTTGCCGATTTCTCTATTTTTCGATTTTTCGACTTCATCAGTTTTAGATTTCTCGTTCTTTTGATCTTTCAATCTCTCAATTTTTCGAATTTTTAAATTTTTTGATTTCTCGATTTATCGAGATTTGGATTTTTCGATATTTTGATTGTCAATTTCTCAATTTATAAATTGTTCAATTTTTAACTTTTCGATTTTTCGATTTTGGCCTATTTCGGTTTTTCAGTTTTCGACTCCACGACTTCTTGATCTTTTAATTTTTCGATTTCTCGGTGTTTCGATGTTTCGATTTTTCAATGTTTCGGTACGACAAAAAACTCGTATCATTTTATTAAAATCGTGATAGTGTTTTTTAGTTTCCATGTAGTTTTAGATGCACTTGGAGCCTATATATACATATTACGTAAATGATAAAATAATAAAAATAATTTATAACATTATCTTAATGATTTATTGTCTCAATTATCGTTTAACGTACGTGCCTAGAGCTGAATGTAGAAATCCTAAGCCGCTCAAATTATCCCAGTGTAGGACTACATCATTGTGTAAATCCATCGAACAAGTATCGAACCGCCGTAACAATATTTACTTCAAGTTCTAAAGAAATTTTGAGAAACTTTAGTGATGTCGTCAGCTTTTTTGTAAGGACACGTATACCAATATAAATATGTGCATTGCAATACAATTAATGGCAAAAGAAATTACCATGTGAAACATTTTCTAAGTAATCGTGTTGTTCAAAGAAAACTGTGTGCATTAAGTAAAAAAGAAAGCCAAAGATTAAGCCCCGCCTACACCCACTCCGATCTCAATTGTGATAAATTTTTCATTAGTTGTCAGACCAAGGGGCGGAGCGTAATTGCAAAAGCCATATTTCCCTACAAAAATTAACATTTTAAACATACGACTGCGTATATTAACACAAAAAAGGTAAGATGTGAGCCCCGCCCACCCGCCCTGTCTCAATTGTCAAATATTATCAAGAAAATTACTTTACAAATAAACCTACACCTGTAATTAAACAATGCAACCCTATTGTGTTTCAATT